GTAGCTCGAGAGCCACATGCGGCTCTTTGCCCCCTTGATTTTTTAGCAAACAGCTTAGGAATACCCTAATTAAGTTCATAACAATGTACCTGCCTATATAGTTGAAGTTTTAAACATTTGGCTCTCAAAAGAAATTTCAATCGTTGTACTGTTGATATTTGGCTCTGTTGACTAATGAGCTTGCCGACCACTGGTCTAGGGGATCTGAGGCTCAAGTCTTTTTCTTGTTGCTATTTTTTTAAGGTGGAAGAGACTTGAACATACAAGCTGAGGGGAGGAGTCCCTGGAGATAGGGAAAGGTTGACCAAAGAGCTCAGGGGGACAGGAGGGCACAGGGGGAGTGGTTTGCCCTGGGCAAGCCGAGGCACAACAGGTGCCAGCCCCACAGTGGGAATGTGGAAATTCTTGAGAGTTCAACACTGGTAAATGTCAGTCATCTGATGATTACCAAACCCCAAGGGTGGAGCAGCGTGGGTGGAGCAATTGTGATGGTGTTGCTGTGGGAAAGGAGCTGACCAAGGTCCTGTCAAAACAGTTTCAGAGCAGCAATAAGGGCCTGCTGAGGTTGAAAACCTAAGGGTGTGGTGTGATTTTCGCCCCCATCCCTTCATCCAGACTTGCTATTCTGGACATATGCGTGGAGGAGGCTCACCCTTGAGGATGGGATGCTGGGGTGATGAACCATTCTGCTTTTCCCGGGACCGAGGACTTTTCTGGGACACAGAACGTTTAGTGCTAAAACTGGGAAGTCCTGGCAAATCAGGACCAGCTGGTCACTCAAGGTGTTGCAGAGCTGGTGGTCAGGAGGCAAAATGGCAGGAGAATTATTGAGGGTGCTAGCGGGCGAGAGTTTGTAGCTTATGCTCTCAGTCCAGTTTGGGGAGAAAGGGAAGCGAGGCTATTACTTGGGAGTCATTTGTGATCATACCTTCATTCATTCAACAAATATTAACTGAGTGCCTACTATGAGTCAGGCACCGGAGGATTTAACCAGAAAGAAGACAGGAATGCCCTCATAGACTATCCTTCTGTGGTGATGTCAGTTTGTCCTCAGGATCCATTCTCACCTCTGTCCCGACGGTGGACAACTACAGACTGCATCTCTGGGCTTCTTTACAAGTAGAATGTGACTTTAGTTCTGCCATTTAGGTGCACTCAGGTGAGATTTACAAACAGCAGCGAGGTAGAAGCCAATAACTGGTTGCTTTTCTCCGTTTCTCTGCTGGCAAGCATGGTGGTGATGACTTGGGGATCTGGGTGGCAGTGTTTAGATGTCCAATCACCAGGTGTGGAGTTGGTGGAGACAGGTGTGGTGGCGTTGCGTTGCCCTCTGGTATCTGGGTCACCACAGGTGTTCTTGAGCTCAAGTCTCCCTGTGACAGCCTCCTGATTCCCCACCGGGGCCTCCTGAATCCCCACTGGCTTGGCTGAGACACAGTCTTCCAGGGAGTCCCAGGAATATTTCTCAGGAGCCCAGCCAAAAACCCCTTCCCCCAGCCCTTGCTGCAGTTTTTTATACACCCATATTCAATATTTCCATCCAATATTACCTGATTTCTGTTTCTAAAACCTGACACACATTCTGTTGGCCAGGGTTTTGGAGATTCACTTTGGAAATTTACTGCTGGGTTGTTTAAAAGGTCATTGAACCCTCCCAGAAATTTCCCTCCAGAAATGAAACTGCAAGTTTCTTAGGTTTTGTTTTTCATTGTGAAGGCCAGAACAGTTTGTACCAGGATACAAGGTTTAAAAAGGGCAAAGCATCGTCATTAAATTAAAATTTGACAGTGGAGGCGAGGGGAGAAGAAAAGGGGAATTTTTAAAGAATTCTATATACAAATATGCCAGATATATCTGGCTAGGAAAGGCTTAATGTAGTGGAGTGAAATGAAACGAATCTAATGTTGATGAATCAGGAGGACTGGACATTTAAAAGCAGAAGAATTGGGCTCCCATAGCCTCTGTCCCTCACCCAAGTGAGACAAAGCAAGTGAGTTCCGGAGGAGGTGAGTGGAGCCCTGAGCTGGCAGCTCAGCAGGGTGGGGCTGCAAGCGATGGGCACCTGGCTTCACAGAACTCTACAGACCTCATTCCACCTGCTGCCACCCCTCCTCGCCCCTCGCCACACCTTTGGAGTTGTGCTAAGTAACATTGACCTGTTCTTTTTGAGGATGACTTTGGGATGCCTCTAAGCTTGCTTGTTCTAAAAGCTTATCTACATACCCACCAGGGCAGCTCTGAAAGCATCTTGAATGCTGTGAAATACGTGTACACAAGAGACCTAATTTTTCTTTTTAAAAAGCTAATTTTTCTTTTTAAAAATCTATAAGGTTTCCTTTTGGCTTGCTGCTGTTTTCTAATTTTATTGTATTTTATTGTGTTCAGAGAATGTGGCATGAGGCATGTTTATTTTGGTATCTGTATACACCTATTGTCTGGCTTATGCAGCAAAATATTACAAGTTCAGTCATTCCACCTGTATGTAAACAAACTCTGTACTTTTATCCAGTCACATTCCATTCATCCTGTCATGGAAAACAATTCAGTATTTTTTATTTATTTATTTATTTTTTTCAATTCAGTATTTATTATTGCTACGTATGTTTTAATATTTTCACTACACACACACACACACACACACACACACACACACCCCACACCCTAAACAATATACAGAGTGGGGTAAAAGTAGGTTTACAGTTGTGAGTATTCAAAACATGAGTTTATTCTTACATTGTTATTTATTAATTAACTACTTTTACCCCAACCTGTATGGTATTATTTTTTTAGCATTCAGTGTTTTAATGTATGCTTTAGCAATTTGCTTTTTGCCTAGGCAAAAATATTTCTTTTGTTTTGCTTTTTCTTTGTGAGATTCATGTAGTAATAGTTTATTTTCAGGGCCATGTGGTACTTCATTGAAGGACTATACCTTTAAAATATAAATATATATATATTGATCTCAGAGGGGAAGGAATAGGGAGAGAGAGATAGAAATATCAATGATGAGAGAGAACCATTGATTTGCTGCTCCTTGCAACTCCCTCTGCTGGGGATCAAGCTCACAACCTGGTACCTTCCCTGATTGGGAGTTGAACCAGCGACCTCTTGATTCCTGGTCATTGCTCAACCTCTGAGCCCACCAGCTGGGCTGTATGTAAATATTTTATAGGTTAATTTATAAAAACTAATAAAATTGTGACTTTTAGTGACTAAAAAACGAACTTGACTCGTTTCATGGAAACTAGTGGCTATTAACATGCCTGTGAGTGGAGTATAGATTTAGGCTTTCTGTAACACTTAAGCTTTCAGATTAAAAAAAATAGTCTGAGTGCCAGTTACTTTTTACTTTCATTGAGCAATAATTTAGTAAATTTTATTAGTCTCATTATTCGCAAGTGGCCATATGTAAGTGAATTTTGGATGAATGAGCATGGGATTGGCGTAGATGCATCAATACTTATTAACAAGTATACATTAGATAAAATGTCTACTTTTATTAAGAGCTCTCCCATTTAGACTGGTAGTGGGAGGCCAATGTGAAAAGTATGAATGAATGAATGGTCTATTTTAAAATAAAATATTTAAAAATTTTAAGAAATAAAATAAAAAATAAATGTAATTTTATTACTTTCAGACTCTTTAATATTTTCATTGATGGATAGTTCTGGAATTTTAGGAAAATGGTGCTTCCTCTACGAATCTGTTTTGTTTTTTTTCTTTGACAGCAAGAACTATATATTTAATGTCCCATATTCCCCTTTTTGCTTTGACTGCCAGGAAGCTCAGGGACAAATGCACAGTCTACTAAGATCTGTTTGGGCTTTTCTGGTCTGCATTGTATTTATCACTCCAACCCATTTTGACACTCTAACCTATTTTTTTTTCTTTGTTTACACATAAAAATTTTTCCTGCTTATGTAATTTTATTTAAGATGCCTCAAATCTTTTGTAGACTGAGATTATATATAAATAAAAATTATTTATAAATAAATAAAATAGATTCAGTGTTCTTTTCACTAAATTTAGCTACATAAGTATGTACATATACTTGTATGCAAATAGGTAGCAACAGCATCGTGCAGCTGTTATTTACTTGTGTTTGCAGTTATTTACTTGCTATGGTTAGCTTTTAACCTCCAATGATAGAAACAGACTAGGTATTCTCCCAGAACACACACATTATAAAATATATATATTTTATTGATTTTTTTTTTTTTTTTTTTTTTTTTAACAAAGAGGAAGGCAGAGGGATAGAGAGCTAGAAACATTGATGAGAGAGAAACATTGACCAGCTGCCTCCTGCACACTCCCTACCGGGGATGTGCCCGCAACCAAGGTACATGCCCTTGACCGGAATCGAACCTGGGACCTTTCAGTCCTCAGGCCGACTCTCTATTTTCGGCAACACACACATTTTTAAGTGTAAAACATAGCCATGAGACTTTAGAATAGATGGCAGTGAAGATTTTTGCTTACAGGTGCAATGAGGGATTTTAAAGTAGAACAACTGGAAAAAAAAGGATGGGGTGGAAATAGATGCCTCTGTCTCCCATTATTTTTGATCCCCCACAGAGAGCCCCTTTTGTGTAAGCCTTCCTGGGCCAAGGTCACCCACAGAGTTGTTATACCACTTTCTTCTGTCCTTCCAGCTGCTTAGTCATTGGGTTTTTCCTGTATGATTTCACATGTACCACCTTATACATGCTAATAATTTCTGGTAAAGCCTGTGGGGTGGGTGTTTTTTGGGGAAAATTTGTCTCTTATTTCCTTTAAAATATAAGTTATTTTCTTTGTCTTGGTTTTGGATCGGTTTCTTTGTCTTTTGAGAGTCGCTTTTTGTAGACTGAACAATATGAATTTAATTTCCTGGAGACCCAGCAAGAAAAGAAAAGCCCCTATTTTGAATTTTAAGCGTAATTTCCTTTGATAAGAGGATTTAAAAAAAAAAATTCCCCTTTGACCACAGAACACCTCCATTGGAAAGGATTCTGAAAGAAATGAACACAGTAGCATTATGGCCTGTTGACTGGACTGGCGTCTTGCCTTGCAAGACACTCTGCAGGATGTCTGCTGAGGACATTCATCAGATTGAAGAGGCGCTCGATGAAGATGAGAGGGAGATGCTGCTTTTTCTGTGCCGAGATGTTGCTACGGACGTGTCAGCCTTTAACGTCAGGGACCTTTTGGACAGTCTAATGGAAAGAGGAAAGCTGAATGACATGGGCTTGGCTGAGCTGCTCTACAGAGTGAGGCGGTTTGACCTGCTCAAGCGCATCTTGAAGATGGACAAAAGGACGGTGGAGGCCCACCTGCTCACGCACCCGCATCTTGTTTCAGACTACAGGTAACCCTGAGGCCAGGAGGGAAGGAGGTGGTCTAGACTTCTGAAGGAGAGAAAGAAGGACAGTGACACAAGCAGCCTCATTGCTTGCTCTACTCAATGATCCAACTGCTGTATAATGTGACTTCATTCTTTTAAACTCTTTGAGTTTCTAGGTGGTATTTTCTTTAATTAATTGGGTGGTAGTAGATCATAATGACAATGAAAGTGATAGATGGTATGTATTTGCCCTGTGGATAGAGGGAGAGAAATAGGCCTGACCCAGACCTAGTAATTTTTTTTTAATTTATTGATTTGATAGAGGGAGATTGATTAATGATGTCTCACTTACTTACACATTCATTGGTTGATTCTTGTAAGTGTCCTGTCCAGGAATCCAGCCCACATAGTTTAGGAGTATGGGGACAACACTCTAACTCACTGAGCTTCACCCGGGGCCAAGAGCTAGTAATTCTTGCAGCCTCTGTGAGATCTGAAGTGGTCCCTGTTAGCTTATTTTTTTAAAAATATTTTTATTGATTTTTTTTTACAGAGAGAAAGAGAGAGGGATAGAGAGTTAGAAACATCGATGAGAGAGAATCATTGATCAGCTGCCTCTTGCACACCCCCTACTAAGGAGCTGCCTGCCACCAAGGTACATGCCCTTGACCGGAATTGAACCTGGGACCTTTCAGTCTGCAGGCCGACGCTCTATCCACTGAGCCAAACCGGTTTCAGCTGTTAGCTTATTTTCTATGATGTCAGACCCGGCAATTTTTTCATACTGAGGAAGGAAATAAGTCATAAATAAGTCATAAAATGATTTCACTCATTTGTTCAATATAATGAACAATATAAGCTGATAAACAAAGATAGAGCCAAAGACACAGAAACAAATCTTTCTGATCATTGTGGAACAGCGGAAACTAATGGGTTGGACTTACTATGAAGTTTCCGGGAAGTACCTACTTTCAAAGGCTTCTATATGAAAGTTCCAGCCCCAGTATGGAAATTAACATGTTCAGACATGTCAGGCTAGTAAAAACCATATTTCAGCCCCCTTCAGAGAGGACCATCCACTGGAGTCCCCTTTAGTTTATATAGCCTTTAAGTTGCTCCTTTTGCTCACAAAAAGCTCTCTTGGAGGTTCTGGGGTGCACAGAGCCACTTTTCCAACCAAAATATAATATCAGTAACCTTAAAACTTGTTGGGAACTGCTTAAATTAGCAGTTCCTTTTTTTTCCAGACCACTAGCCTTTCGTCATATTTTAAAATACATTTTTATTGATTTGAGAGAGAGAGAGAAAGGGAGAGGGAGATAGAAACATCATGATGTTTTTTAAAAAAATATGTTTATATTGATTTGAGAGAGAAAAAAAGGGAGAGGGAGATAGAAACATCAATTGGCTGCCTCCTGCATGCCTCCTACAGGGAATCTAGCCCAGAATCCGGGCATGTGCCCCTGACTGGAATCGAACTCGAGACCCTTTAGACTGAGGCTGATGCCCTATCCATTGAGCCAAACTGGGCTAGGGTCATTTTTTCATTTGTTAAGTAGCTTTTTGTGTATGTGTGTTTGGGTTGATATAGGCCAGCCTGTTATTTGGAAAGTGCTAGAGCAAAATACGTGAAGACTCTTCCGTACTCAAGATTCTATGAGGCTAATTGGGAAAACAGCCCTTCAGCCCGATAAAGCATGGTGGTAGCTCTTACTGCAGCAGAGGTGACGGGCTGAGTCAGGAGGGGCTTTCTAGAGCAGGACATCTGTGGTCACAGTTCCCAGGCTCTAGCTAACCTTTACACTTTGAGTTTCAGAGTGGGCCGGGTGTTTGCTTTAGAATCTTGTGACTCAAAGTATGGTCCCCAGATCAGCATCCGCATCACCTGGGAGTTTGTTCAACAGAGAAGATCATTTTCAATTCTATTTCTGTCTTCATCTTAGTCATTACTTATTTCTTTATAACTTCTGGGGGAGCTAGGGGATTCTTTAGTGAAGTTTTTATTCTGAGTTGTTTTCAGAGTAGTTAGTTGGAAAGAGAGGTACCATCTCCTATTGAAAACTGGGGAAAACATTTTGGAGTTCCCTTAAGATCTCCTTCTGGGGTGATCTAGGCTTTCTGTCTTATGGAGGGAGGGAGGGCGCATTCACATAGGGACAAGAACTAGTCCTTTAACCAATTATTGACACAGAGGAGGCAGGTTCTTGGCGGTCTCACTGGGACTGGTATCTGAATTGACTAAAGAAACTTGTCTGTTTCACAGGGTGCTGATGACTGAGATTGGTGAACATTTGGATAAATCTGATATGTCCTCGTTAATTTTTCTCATGAAGGATTATATGGGCCGAGGCAAGACAGCCAAGGATAAGGTGTGTTTTCTTTTTCTTGGTTATTCTCAAGAGTCCATCGAAAATTGAAGGATACTCTCTATGATGTGAAGAGAAGAAAGCAAGCATTTGAACAAGGAGGCCCAAGCTGAGGATGAGGGAAGGCAGAAAGTGAGAACAGTATGGGTTTTGCTTTTTTAAAAAATATAATTTTATTGATTTCAGAGAAGAAGGGAGAGGGAGAGAGAATCATTGATTGGATGCCTCCTGCATGCTCCACACTGGGGATCAAGCCCACAACCTAAGCATGTGCCCTTGGCTGGAATTGAACCCAGGACCCTTTGGTCCACAGGCCCACACTCTTCCACTGAGCAAAACTGGCCAGATGTTTGGTTACTCTATTTTAGAATAAAAATAGCACATCAGCAAACAAATGTTAAGCAGAAGGGAAGTGAAACCAAATACCTGAGTAACAAAATGCCCAGACCTTGAAATTTTGTCCCCTCATATCCTCTGAATCAGAGGGAGTTGGAATGGCCAGCATTGATTAAAAATTTTAGGAACTTCAAAAACGGTATTACTGGGGTTTTCCTAGTAAGTAGTTTCCCCAAACTACATTCTCTCTTCCTTTTCCAGGAAAGCCCATAGAGTTTTTTACTATATCACCAGCCCAAGTGTTTGAAAGGGAAGCAGCTCTGGAAGATTTTACTGTATTTTTAGGCCTGCTCTCACCATATTCCTTGATGACACAAAAGGGCCATGTGTTCATCCCCAACCTAGGTACAGGTTGGCCACCAAAAGACTTCCCACTATCTCTTTGCTGCATACACCTCAGGAGAGTGATTTGCACCTTGCCTTGGAAGGACTATCACACAGAGAAGTCTAGTTTAGGATCCCTGAAGATCTGAAGGAGCTCCATTTGTCACCTTTTCTTGCTGTTATAAACCCACGGCCTGAGTTTTGCATTTGGGGCTTAAGAGTCAGCCCTACTGACATTTATTTCTTGTTGGTGTCTCTCTTAGAGCTTCTTGGATCTTGTGATGGAATTGGAGAAGCTAAATCTGGTTGCTCCAGATCAATTGGAATTATTAGAAAAATGTCTGAAGAATATCCACAGAATAGACCTGAAGACAAAAATCCAGAAATACAAGCAGTCTGGTAAGCAGAACATTGGCCTTTCGGGGGCTTAAGGAAAGTATCTGTGCAGGATAGGTATGGTTGGCAAATATTCACTGTTGGGTGGATGGAAAGAACCTGAATGTTCACAGCATCCTGGTAGCCTGTGATTAGAGATCATATCCCTTTCTATCTTTCATATCCCAGATCTGCTGACTTCATCACCCCACGCACATGACCAAAGAGTCTTGGCCCTCTCCAACATGCCACCAAGCAGTTCTTAACATTCCCACCTTCAAGGAAGAGTTTGCACCCCCATTTCTATACCTGGTGGAGGTGCTGTGGACATTCAGGGCTTTTGAGGATATGCCCTGCTGCCTTGCTCCAGTGTTTGGCCTGATCACCATCAACTCTGGGTGGGATCTTGTCACTGGGGACCCATGACTGCCCTACATACATTCTGACTTTCACAAAATCTTCTCATGAAGAAAAGGCATCTGTTCTGCTGAAAACCCCTCCCTTGGTAAAGGGGACCAGATTCACACTGGCCTTCTCTGGCATGTCCCCCACCCCATTGTCTTTTAGACTCAACCTTAACTTAACCTGGGACTTATTAGCAGTCTACTGCCCCCAGAGTCACAGCCTGAAGGACATGGCTGAAACCCAGTGATCTACAGACCCCCTCCCCCCCTCACACTCTAACCCAAATGACTGATAAAAGGTCAAGTAGCATTTTTAGTCCTTTCTTAATGATGCTGGTGGAAGAAGAGTCATCTGATCTGATATTCTGAATTGAGTAAGGTGGCTGGGGAGCTGAGGGTGGTTTGAAAGATGATGATTGACCTCGGACTGAGCCATTGTTGAAGATTTATTTACTAATAATTGGTAAACCTTAACTCTCTTCTGCTTACAGCTCAAGGAGCAGAAACAAGTTATGTAAATGGCCTCCAGGCATCTCTCCCAAACTTGAGTCTTACGGATCCTTCTCCATATAACAGCGGAAGGGTGAGTCGGGAGCAAATGCCTGGAATACCAGCATGAAAAAGCTTCAGAGATTTCATGAAAAAACAAAACAAAACAAACATATTCTCACACTATTTAACACACGAAAGAATCGTGTTAGAAATGCACATGTGTTGTTTTTTAAAAACTTACATATATATAAAAACTTATGTACAAAGCTGTCATATGTATATGGAGATAATTTGGAAAATGATACAAAAATAACCACTGTTTTATAATACTTCTTAGTCTTGTATCTGTGTATTTATATTATTCCCAATCTTTTGCTTAGACAAATAATAATTCCAAATAAATAACATTTGTATTTACCTCTCTGGGCATTTGCTTCTTATTGAGATTATTGAGCTTACTGAGCTTCTTTTAATGATGTCGGCAAAAGTATTTATTGAAAGGTTCGGAGTTGGGCCAGGATCGCACAGAACTGATTCAAGGCTCAGTGTAGTCAAAAAGGCATTTATTCAAGGCACCTGCGTGCAGATGGACTGAGTTCGAAAAAGAAATCAGTGGCAAATGGGGAGGGAGCAGGCTTTTTAAGGGTCTAAGTAGAGCTTGCAGACGGCTTTAGGCTGACACACTATCAGGACCTTGCCCCCATCAGAGCTTTAGTTTTACGGCCCTGCCCTTTGTCCTTCTTCCTGGGGGCTGTGCAGGAGTTCTGTTCTTCAGGAATTTCTGTGAAATAACCACTCAAGGGGAACATGTTTGTGCAAGGCTTAGGCTTGCAGAGCGAGCTTTCTTTTGTTAGCCCCTGTTGAGGTAGAGCCATGTTTCTTGATTCACCCTTTCCTTTTTTGTTATTGAGAGATGTTATTGATTTGTGAACATAAATATGTTTTATTCTGAGAAGTCAATCTTAGTATCATCTCATCCTCCTCCCCATATAAAGATGTGTGGAATTTGTAGTGAGGACTTCTTAGATCAGAGTGCAATTTCATGGATAAATGATAAAAACTTTCATAAAAGTATGCGATGAAAGCATTAACTACCCCTGTGATAGAAATAGGTTCATGAAGAACATGAGCTGTAAGAGATATCACTGAGCAATAGCATGTCAGCGCTGAAAAGGATGTTTAAGGATTTTACTGTCCAGCCCCCTCACTGAAGAAATAAGAAAACATGGCCCTAAAGAACGCTAAGTGATTACCCACCTCCAGCTGTCACCAGAACTGGACCTAGTCCCTGCGCCCTCCTCTACACAGTGGTGTATGTAATTAACTACATATTAGATACACCATCGCTTAGATATGTCTGTCGTTTTCCAAGAACCAATCACATTTTCTTTTGTCACTCTGAATCTCTGTAATATTAAATGAGACAAAACTGATTTAGGATGCTGACTCAGATTTTTTGAGTTTTCTCTGCTATTGTCTCTCTAATATAAATTATGTCACTATTCTTAGTTAAAAGCCTGTCCCATTTTTACTATTGTCTTTCTATTTTGTTAATGGAAGTAATTGTGTATTCACTGTCTTTGTAGCCCATCGAGAATTCACATGCTCTACGTGTAAACGTCTCCTTAAATTTGCTGTATTAATCTGTGACCCTGATCATTTATTCACTTAATAAGCAGGCACTATAGCACATGAATTGCTCACAAGATTTAGGAGCTGAATACCTGAATATTAACTCATACATAGCTGCAAAAGTGCTTTAAAAGTTATGGTGGCAGCCCAGCTGGTATTGCTCAACCCATGAACCAAGAGGTCCCCGGTTGGATTCCTGGTCAGGGCACATGCCCGGGTTTTGTAGGGGACATGCAGAAGACAGCCGATCAATATTTCTATTTCTCTGTCCTTTCCCCTTCCTCTATCTCTCTCTCAAATCAATGAAAACAGATATGGTGGCATTAAATGGCACATGAGACCAACATATTGCAGAATAAAAAAGTATGACTCTGCAATATAATGCTTATTTTATTGCATTTATTTCTTTGCAATATGCTTTTTAATATATATATATATGTATGTTTTTTTTTAATAAATTGATTTTAGAGAGATAGGAATGGAGAGGGAGAGAAAAAGAGGGAGAGAAACACATTGATGTGAGAGAAACATCCATCTGTTGCCTTCTGGGCTTGTGCCCCGACTGGAAATCAAATTGCTGACCTTTCTGTGTATGGGACGACACTCAACCACCTGAACCACACTGGCAAGGGTTCAATATAATGCTTCTTAAATATAGCTTTGACTTGATGTTATATATCTTTAATAGTATGTAAAAGTGAATGCATATCCATGTGGAGCTTGAACTTCTACTTATATCATCAACCTATGGCTAAGTCACTGATTATTAGGGATAAAAGCAAGTGACATATTTTTCATTAATTTAGACACACAGACGTAGCTAAAGACACAGTTCAATGAACAGTCTACTTCTCTCTTTTGGCTAGGATAGCCTCAGTGGAGAACTGTCACTTGAAAGCTGAGCGTATCAGATGGTTGACACTATGTGGGATGTGTACCTTACACAGGACCTGTCATCTGAGAAGAAAGGGTCGGTTCAATCTTTAATTCTCTGGTTAATACCACTGTAGCCCTCAGAAGTGGTAGCTGTTCTTAAGAATCAAGCCCACGTGTGGCTTATGTTTAGCTAGGCAATTATAGAAGAACATCAACTGGCCAGCCAGTAAGCACTTCATGTGCTAAGCACTGTCCTGAGTGCTTTGAATACATTTAACCTTCACAAAAAAATGTATAAGGCAGGTACCGCTATTGTGCTCATTTTGAGGATCAAGAAACAGCCATATAGAGGTTAAATAACCTGCTGGAGGTTACATAGCTAGTAAGTGGCAGAAACAAAACTTATAGCCAGGTTTATCTGAGCTAGAATTCCCACTCTTAACCATACTACATTGCCTCTGTGTTAAAGGATCAGGTTTGAGATTAATCGCATGTTTCAACAGCTTGTTCTGTCTTGGAGCTCTTTAAAAAAAAATTTATTGATTTCAGAGAGGACAGAAGAAGAGAGAGAGAGATAAAAACATCAATGATGAGAGAGAAACATTGATTGTCTGCCTCCTGTACACTCCTTCCCCTCCCCCATACTGGGGATTGAGTTTGAGCATGTGCTCTAACCCAGAAACAAACTTATGATCTCCTTCCTGGTTCATAGGTCGATGCTCAACTACTGAGCCACAGCCAGTTGGGCTGTCTTGGAGCTTTTATAGCAATTCTACTATATCATGACAGTTGACTTTATTGAGCTCTTTTGAAACATTCTAATATGCTAATTTAGCATATTTACACATTAATTGTATTTCCACTTCTCGAAAAGAAGTGTTGCCTTGTTCTTTGGCTACAAGATGTAGGATTCATGGAGTTAATAGCTCTTGCTATTCTTCTTTAGATAATTTGACAGTGAATGTAATAGTTTTGTTTCTTCCTGGGTAAAAATTCTATAGACATTTTTAAGGAGGTGTAACAGAATGTGATCCTGAAAAAACTAACAGGGTCTGTGACCTTATTCTTTATATTTGAAGTTTCAGAAGGGGAGGAGTAAAGGACAAAGACTCATGGTGAGAGATCCTGGCATTCAAAGTAAGACTGACTTCTCTTTATGCGTTTTCTTTGTAAATGCTTGATAATTCTAGTACAAAAATGTTTTCTTTTTTTAGAGTTGGCCATTCCCTTTATCTGTACAGTCTAATTAAAGCTCCCCAAAAGCAGTTAAACTCTTAAAATGTATTCAATGGCATTTCTAGTTACTTACTGAATTCACTTGGTTGAGTTTAAACACCTCTTACACTATCAGCTTCATCTTCTTGGCTCTCTATTTCTGCCTGAAAGGAAAGAATAACCAGGGCGAGTTAAACATTTTCTAGCCATGATCATGAGCCATGTTAATCAAATATCCAGCAGCTGGAAGAAGAAGGGTCACTACGACCTTGTGTTAAAGCCCATTTAATAAGTGTAGGTACTCTATAGATGACATTCCCCTCTCCAAAAAAGAAAGAAAAAAAATACAATTTAAAAACCTAGTTATTTCAACCTGTATGATCATCTCTCTGACACTAGCACACGACCCCACCTATTTTTAAAGGTGTATTTCTTTTGCTTGTCTTGAGTCCTCCTTGAAGCGAGGCTGAGACTCAATCACACGATGGCTCAGGATTAGCCAGATGGTGAAGCCCAGGCTGGTCATTGCCTACCTCCAGGAAAAGCTACGGAGGAGCGAATTGATTCCTGAAGTGACGGCATTTCTTAAAACACTGCTGAGGTGGTGAGCATTAGCATGCTGAAAGCTGTTTAAAGGGAAATAGGAGACCTGGCAGATCTGGATGGGGATGAAAAGCAATCTGTGTTCTTTCCACTGCGCTAATGGCAGGTTTGTTCTTGATTGGGCTTGCCCAGGCTCCGTAAGCGAAGCTCTCCACACCCTGACGGTCCTACGAGTGCTGCTTCCGCCTGGAATGGTTGATTTGCTAACAAAAGAAGAAAGCATTCTTGGCCTTAATCTAATAGAAGTTTAAAATAATCAAGCCCTGTATTCTTATTAATTTGGATTTCTAAATAGATTTCATCTGAATGATGATAATGAGGATACAATTCACCAAGCTTCTACTATGTGCCTTAAATGGAGAAAGGCATATTGCATAGATCATTCTGTGCTTTTTAAAATTCTGTTAATCCATGATTGCTAAAATAGAAAAAGATAAAGTGAAATTCTCCTCTTAATTACAAGTATCAACATTATCTGATTAATGTTTGATTTATATCCCTCTAAGACTCTTATTTTTCATATACAGATGTATAAATATATACACACAAATACATATTTTGAATATTATAATATTTAGTAATCCATCTGTTACTCAATATATTCTGCATATCTTTTCCTGTCAAATACATAAAGATCTCTTATCCTTTTTAACACTGCATAATATTCCATTATATGGACACTAGAGGCCCAGTACACTGGGGGAGGAAGGGGAGGAGGCATTCCTCAGCCCAGCCTGTGCCCTTTCGTAGTCTGGGAGGCCTCGGGAGATGTCTGTCAGCTTAAGCCGAAGTTGGACATCCTTAGCACTGCCGAGGAGGCGGGCCACTGCGCTCACCAGCCATCAGCCCTATGGGAGCATACTGACTACCCGGGGGCACCTCCTGAGCTGAGCGATTGCCCCATGGTGGTAAGTGTGCCTCATAGCCACCGGTCATTCTGCCATTTGGTCTATTTGCATATTACCTTTTTATTTTATAGGAAAATTTATTTACCCCATTTCATATGGGTAGACTTTTAGTTTCTTTTTAGCTTGGGACAGTCCTTCAGGATATGTCCTTGACATTTTTGCATACTTCTCTATTATTGCCATAAGATAAGCTTCTAGAAGCAGAATGTTGTTTTAAAGGGTGTTGCTAGTTGTTCTTTAAAAAGAGTGATTCAACTTTTATGGCTTTGAAAATGCTCATTTCCGCCAAGCCTTATCTTTCCTGGCATTTCCTTGGCCTGTCTTTAGACATTATTTCTCATTTTTTGCAACAATAGTACAAAGCCGATTTTGGTTTGTTCACCCGGGGTTTTAAAAAAAAACCCCCGAGACTTCAGGAAGAAACTTGCCCAAGTTCACAGAGCTTGTTCATGATGATGCGAGGGTACATGCTCGCTTTTTTTTTTTTTTTTTTTTTTTTTAATATATTTTATTGATTTTGTACAGAGAGGAAGGGAGAGAGATAGAGTTAGAAACATCGATGAGAGAGAGTCATTGATCAGCTGCCTCTTGCACACCCCCTACTGGGGATATGCCCGCAACCAAGATACATGCCCTTGACCGGAATCGAACCCAGGTTCCTTCAGTCCCTAAGCCGACGCTCTATCCATTGAGCCAAACCGGTTTCGGCTCATGCTCGCCTTTTATGGCTTTAAAGCTGATGGTTTCTCTACCTCACTAGGCTAAAAAAGTCATTTTTATCTAACAAAAATGTGCTGTAGACTCACCTACATGTGCTAAGCTCGCTGTCTCCATATTGCCATTGACATTTAATGTTATGATCTCCCTGTATCCCTGGGCTAAGAAAACCTGGTCATTTATTCAGTCTCGAAGGCTGTTCCCGTGGGTGTTGCCAGTTGTAGCACAGAGAGGAAAGCTGTTGATATTGTGGTGAAGTTATTGGATTCTCAAGTTAAACACTCAGCAGTTACCTGGCCCTCACCTGGAGAAGGGCAAGGGGAGCCTTCTCTCAGTTGTTATTGAAGCAGTTTTTCTACATGACCCTTCTTTAGCACAGACACTTGGGTTACAGTTAGGTTTACTTTTTCAAAAATATGTTTTTATTGATTTTTACAGAGCGAGGAAGGGAGAGGGAGAGAGAGATAGAAACATCAATGGGAAAGGAACATCATCAATGGGCTGCCTACTGGGGATTGAGCCAAAACTTGGACTTGTGCCCTGAATGGTGTGGAACCAGAGACCACTTGGCTTCTGGGTCAATCAGGGCTCAACTGCTGAGCCACGCTGGCCGGGCATATCGGTTAGGTTTTTCAGTGCAAGGTCGGAACCTTGGGGCTGAGTACAGCTGAGGAGAGAAGAGATAGTGGGGGAAAGAAACAGGGGAAGAGACCCTTGTGATAGGAAGGGTCACAGCCAGTGGGGAGTGGGCTAAGCCTCCTTCCGCTTTGTAAGCGATTTCCCTCTCATCCTACAGGAGAACCAATGAAGACGTCGGTTCAAGAATCAGGAGCATTTCTGCCTCGGGTACAGAATCCATTTTCTCATTTGGGATTGTACTGCATGTACACACTCTGTGCAGAACCCCGGCTTCTTTAAACATACCTGTCCATTAAGAATTTCTGGTGACAGTGATAGGATTCTGAAAGTGTCATTCTCCTGAGTCCTCTTCTGAAGGGGAACTGTGGGCGTAGCGAGGAGAAAGATTGGACTGGATCCAAAGTTCACTGGCGTGGATTGTGTCCATGAACTTTGGAATGCAGAAAAATGCCAAGGGCCACTGGTCAGCTGAGTAATTGCTGAGCACATCAGGAGCCGAGTCACTGAACCTTGACTTGCTTTTTGTGGGGGCTGATCACTTCTGTAAGGAGAGGCCATAGGAGGACACCTTTTGTACTTATTTGCAAAGACATCACCTGTACAAACTGAGGTTCCTGAGAAATATGTGATCCATCTTTTCTCTCTGTCTCAAATGATCTTTCTCCTGCAAAGCTAGGACCCGTGTAAAGAGACTGCAGTTCTCCTCACAATTAAATAAAATAAAAAAACAGAAGTAGCTTGTTGACTGAAGCACATTTCCTGAGTAGAGGAACAATTTGATATTAAATGGAAATGTCAGCTGTGATGATGTCAGTCTCTGGCTGTTGACTGACTTCCCTGCCAAAGGGCCGTTTAAGAAAACCCAGAGGGAAAGATGGTGCCTTGGGGAGACCTTGGGGACACAACGGTGCCCAGGGTCCTTAACAATCCCTGCTTTGTTTTCCAGCCCCTCCCGGAGGACAGATACCGGATGCAGAGCAAGCCCTTGGGAATCTGCCTGATACTTGATTGCATTGGCAATGACACAGGTAGGGGTGGGTGCCTCCAGCATGAGACCACGGCTCAGGCAGGCTACCCCCGCAGGCCTGATGAACACTCCTGGCTCTCACAAATCACTGCCCACCTCCGCACGAAGTGGAGCCTCTCTTTCAGGTCACTGTCCAGTGTGGATTGGGCTAAGCAAGGCAGGGAATTTCCAGTGGTGTGCTGCAAGGATGTTTACAATGTGGCATTCCTGACTATATTTAGCCGGAGGCACTGAGCTCTTTCCCCTTCGTGGTCAGATTAAAAAAAAAAGAGAGAGAGAGAGAGAACAGCTGACACAATAGCTAAAACATTACACTCTTTTTTTTTTTTTTTTTGGTTAGATCAGCAAAAATATCTCCTTGGCGTGCCGCAGAGCTTTAATCGTCGGTCTATGTGTGCTGTGAGGTGGAAGAGGTTGAACACCGCTGGGCAGGGGTTCCATGTGGTTATTTAGTGGCTTCAGGGGCGGAGGCCCTGGAGTTTCCCACGGGATCCCATCTGTCTGGCTGGTGGATGGAGGGAGTGCGTGATCCCACATACATTTGGGGACCAGGCCTCAGAGTGGTATGCCCTATTTCTTAAAAATAGGTTTTTTATTGATTTTGGAGAGAGAGGAAGAGAGAAGGATAGAAAGATAGAAACATCGATGATGAGAGAGAATCATCTGCCTCCTGCCTCCTGCCCCCACACTGGGGATCGAGCCTGCAACTCAGGCATATGACTTCCTGGTTCATAGGTCCATGTTTAATTATCGAGACACACCAGCCAGATGGTCTGTATCATTTCCACCCGAATCCCACTTAACAGAACTCCTTTGTATGGCTTCACCCAACCCCAGTAGACAAGGAACTGAGTTTGTCAGGAGGAAACTGAAAGGGGATGTGTGTGTGTGGGGTGGGGGAGGGGTGGGGGGGGAGAGAAGAGGCGTGGTTTGTAAAAGTTGCGAAATGGAAGGCTTTCTGGCTTCAGTATTACCAGATGCCTCATCATTTCACCCAGAGAGACTGTGAACTTTTTTTTGGGGGGGGACAGTAAAAATATGGTTAAGTATGTGTTCTCTCAGAGGCAGTGTGCCACTTAGTTTTGCACCCCACACTGTGGGGATTTTGCCCTGAGTCTGAGCTATCTGTGTGTCACCATTGTCTGTATCTAGGTTGATTCTTTGTCCTATTCTGGTGACTTAAATGAGACCAGTCACTGGTGATGCAGCTAAAGAGAATGGGGAAAAGCTAGTTAAGTGGAATAGCATGTTTAGTTCCCCATCTCTTCCTTAAAAGGATTGGTCGCTCTGTCTCCCCGGTTTCCTTCCAGCTTTCTTACATCCTCTCAGAATGAACCAGAGCTAGCTTTTAGGCTCACTGAAAATGTTACCATGGAGAGATGGTTGGGCAGAGAATCGAACAGAAGATCAAATTAGCAAACATTAGACTGGATATCCCAGGATTCCTGATATGATCTCTCTTTCTCATTCCCTATTTTGGGTTTAGATGTGAGAAATGCTGGTTTCTCAGTATATATAAGCGTTCTTTCTTTTGCAGCCATTAATACCCATATCAGAAGAGCAGACACTATCTCAATGAGTAACTTCTGCTTTTAAAAGAGACTGTGTGTCTGTCTTCTGCTTTCCATTTTAATCCATTCTGTTTCATTTGTTTGAGTTCCCAGGTGCACATGGAAGGGAATGCACATCTGTGGCATAAAGAGAATTACACAGATAAAAAGCCAGGATCTGCTGTGGTTTTGTGGCTAAAATCCACTGTCTGTGCTTGCTTCATGCTAGGTTATGGGCCTCTAGCTGGCAGGGACTGAATGCGTATTTGTATGTTTCTGCATTTCAGGAGAGTGGTCAGGGTTGGGCTATGACTGCTGCGTGGGTGTGAATCATGGCTCTGCCATGTGCTAGCTTGTGACCTCGGGCAATTTTCCTCTCTGTGTCTGTTTCTATTCTGTAAAATGCATTAATAACAGGACCTCCCTCACCGCAAGGTTGGGAAGCGTGAGTAACAGGGCTCACGTCTCAGGAAGATTGGGCTTAGCGTGGTGCCTGGTCCACTGTAAACAGGTCCTAAATGCCAGCCTACATTCCTTTCCCAACTCGCCTGTTTACCTTTGGTTGCACACCACTAAGCTAGAAGTCGCCTGGCTTTGTGCGTGGTACAAGGAGTCTGATCCCAGAGGAGTGAGGGCCTAGAGAACTGAGGGCTGAGCCTGCGCTGGGCCCGGCTGAGTGGGGCAGGTCCCCACAGGTTGGAGCTGGGTGGAGTGGATGGGTAACCTGAGAGGCCGAAACTTGTGAGGTGGGAAGCTAGCCAAACGACTCCTACCACAGTCATCGCTGAGACAGAATCTGACTCCAAGGCCAAAGCCCAGGGCCAGTGAGGGAGGAGAAAGACCTGACTGGGGAGGATGGAAAGGAGGGTAGAAGTGGAGGCGGAGCCTGGGGCCTGTGTGTCTGTGGTCTGAGGTTGGAGTAGGCCTTGGCAGACAGCTCACTCTACTCCCATCGTGCCATGGGCTAATCTGCTGAGGGGCCCAGGGTCCATGCTAAGCCCCGCTGAGACTCAGAGGCCCTGCAGAGTTGGTTAAGGCGAGTGGAAGGCACGGCCTCTTCTTCTCGCCTTTGTCCTAGGCCTCCCGCCCTCCCACGGCCAGCCGCCCTCCTGGAGATTTTCACCGAGGCCCGGAACCCTGCTTTGGCTAGCAGAGGTCTCCATTACACGGAGCAGCCTTCCTGTCTGCATTTCCATCTGAACAACCACCGGTCTCTTGCCTGGTTGACTTTGTCATGTGGTTAAGGTTGGACATTGGCGAAGTGTGTAGGAAGGAGTCTGGAAAGAAACATTACTGCCAACTGAGACAAGGGATCTGAAAGGGACCGGCAGTCATAGGATGACTAACCGGAGAGTGGCGGTGATCAGAGTGTAAACTTGATTTAAACTCGACGATGTGCTCATTCCTTTACATGGATTCTCACTGAATCTTCACAACTAATACTGGGAGGTCCGTACTATTATCCCCATCTTCGAGGTGAGCAAGCAGAACACGGTCAACTCCTTTCCTAACTTCTCTGGGATTTGAAAGCTTGGCTCCAGAGCCTCTGTCTGCTCTTGGCTACTTTGCTATAACTGAAGTTCCATGTGGGGTGGAAGAGGGACTGTGTTCTCCAATGCCTGGAACAGTACCTGGCACATTGGAGCCCAATAAACATTTGGTGGCTGAATGAAGGAAGGAATACATTTCAAATATTAGCTTCAATTAGCTCTTTTAATCGCAGTGCGGTTCTAAAACCATTTATCTGTACTGCAGAATCTAGCAGACGTTCTGATACCTACCTAACTTCTGTCCTCAAAAAAAGAAAAGAGAGACTTTTACCCAGACAGTATGCAAGTCCCCCAACATTTATAGGTTTATTCTTCCTTTATCCCATTAATGTTTATTGAGCACCTACTATTTGCAAAACCCCATGTTTGGTCCTGTGTGAAGCAAATATGGAGGGAGGCAAGGAGGGGTAGTCTGGTCTCAGAGCCACGCTGTGAACGACGATAAGGTGATTTTTGGGTGACTTGTTCCTGAGACACATCCTCATAGGGAATGGTGACCTCTCCTCGAGAGGTAGGGAGGTGTAAGGATTTGGGCTAATTGTCGCATTTGGTAGAATTAAAAAGCCAGCTGTGGTGTGGTGCCATCCGTGCCAGTGACCTTGCAGGGCTGAGCTTCAACGGAGTAGAGAAGTGAATGAATCAGGTCACAGACTCCGGGCCTCGATCTAATGCTCTGGCTGGTGTGCAGGCTCCTGAGTAAAAGATTTTAAGAAGTATCTTTTCTCCCTGGCTCTTTCTGAAAAGCCAGGAGATGTTCCTGTACTTTTCAAAAAATATATATATTTTATTTATTTTTTTAGAGAGAGGAAGGGAGAGGGACAGAAAGTCAGAAACATCAATGAGAGAGAAACATCAACTGCCTCCCACACACTGGGGATGTGCCCACAACCAAGGCACATGCCCTTGACCGGAATTGAACCTGGGACCTTTCAGTCCGAAGGGCCGACGCTCTATCCACTGAGCCAAACCGGTTTGGGCATGTCCCTGTACTTTTTAGCCAGGCGGGGGACAGATTTCTCTAGCAGATGCTGCACACTTCCCTTGTGATCTTGAATAGGCAATGTGCTCTTCCTGCGGAGCAGCAGGAAATGAGACAGCCAGAGGCAGTGGGTGGGGGCACTTTGTGGGCGGGGCTGGCCCTTCACCTTCTAACTGCGCAGCCAGAATGAAATCCTCCCACTTTCTGAAAACCCCAGCATTTTAGAAAGTGGATTTCTGAAGAGCAATTCAAGTTTACCAAGAGAGTGCTGGGTCAGGAGTGGAATTTCCAGGGCAATGTCGAATGTGGAACTGGTTTGTCCAAGTTCTGTTTCCCACTCAGGCCCCAAGTTCCTCCCCCATCTGCGGGGAAGGAGCGGGCAGTCACGGTGCTATGTAAGGGCACGGAACCTGACTTGTCTGAGCCCATTTCCTTTTCCTGGCAGGAGAGAAGAGGACTTAGCTGAATTATCTGAAAATGCGTGCAAATCACTCCCAAACATAGTGGCTTAGAAGAACAAACTGCAGAGGCGGAGACCTTTCTCTGGGTCCCGAGGAGGCAGATTCCATGAGGGAGATGCACCCAAGGCTCCGTGCCTTGTGATGGGACATGCCTGCCTTGCTTTTCTTTAAATTCACTACCTTCTGTGGATAAGCGCTCACAGTGTCCAAAGAATCTCGGCAGGAAGCTCCCTGGATCCTCCTGCTCCTTCCTACAGCCTAGGCATCAGCGTTATTCCCATTTTACAGATGAGACAACTAAGGCTGTAACTTGTTCAGAGTCACTGCACTGCTACCACCCCCTTGATCCTATAAGTGAGACTGGGCCGTCTCCGTGTTCTTGCTGGCCCAGCAACGTTGCATTCCCGGCTGACACCATGCCACCTGGCTGGGGTAGAGGAAAGACGTGACTTCCACGGGAAATCTCAGCTGCCCTGACACGGGCTAGTGTCTGAGTGCCTGCCTCTCCAGGGGCGTTTAAAGAATGCTCCATCGTGGGCGAAGGCCCGTCCGGACCTGCTGTTCTCATTGCCCCGCTCTCGGCTTTGGGGGCCTGTGTCGTTTCTGGCTTCCCCTCCAGCTTTAGCCCTTTCTCCTCCAGTTCTATTAGGCAAGGACCTCCTGCCCTGACCTCAGGCCCGGCCCTTTCTTAGCCCCGCTGCTGGGTAAGTCAGCCCTCTTTAGGGACTAGGCAAAGCTCAGGCCAGCGGGTAGGTGGGGGGCCGGGACTTACACTCAGATCTGAGGATGCCAAGACTGGTTCCTCTTTTGCCCTGTACCATGCAGCTGCCTGCTCATAGCCACGTAGAACCCACAGGGCCAGATAAAGTTGTCTTATTTTCGGGGAAACAGGGTACTTACCAGACCCTTCAGGCCTGGGGCGGATGCTATCAACAGCAGCCCACGTAGGCTGGGGCAGAACTGTGGCTTCCTTCCAGGAGGTTGACAAAGGAGGGAATTTCCCGGAAGGGAGGGTCTGGAAAGCAGTGAATCATCACTCTGCGATGACTTGTAAACAGGCTGCTGTTTCCCTGCTTGCTCCTGCCCCCTAGAGGCGGGAGTACTCCATGACCGGAGATCTGTGGGTCCTTTGCAGAGAAAGGAATGCAACTGGGGATCTAGTCAGGCTTTCTCGGGGACACTTCGGGTCCCAGCCTGAGTACTGTGCTGGGTGGGAGCCTTGCCCACACCCGCAGGCGAGGGCAGGGGGCGCAGGGCTGGCCGCCTACGCTACACAGACTCTGTGAGGGCAAGTGAGCTCTTTAATAGGATGCCAGCCCCCTGTATACCACGCCCTTCCTTTCCCTGCTAATGCTTACTTCTTATAGGGTTTTAAGGAGATGGGCACCTTCTTGATATTTCTTCATGATTATCCTATAAAATAAAGAGCTAATAGGCAAATTGTCCCCCTGGGAGTTTGACCAGTCCAATTCATTAATGTGTGAATTAATGAATGTGCAAAAGAGGACAAAAGCCACTGATAGGGGGCAGGCCTGGCCAGCCAACCACCTGTGTTCCCTCCTCACAGCTGGCCAGATCTCACCTGTGCACGAATTCATGCACTGGATCTCTAGTGTATATGTAAAAGGGTCCCTGAAGACCATTCCCCAGGTAAAGAAGAGAGGTGGGCACCTAGTCAAGAGGCACGGAAAGAAATCCAGAGAAGCTCCTGGGCTGTTTGGGTGACAACCTGAATGAGGAGATGTGGTTATAGCCTCTCGGGTTAAGACAGAACAGCTCTCTGCCCCGCGAATGAACTACAAACTGGAGACGCCACTCAGACAAGAAACAGAAACTGAATGGGTGGCTCAAAAGAATGTGGAATTGCCTGGTCAGTTAAGTGTTGACCTATGAACCAAGAGGTCACAGTTCGACTCCCGGTTAGGGCACATGCCCGGGTTGCGGGCTCAATCCCCAGTGGGGGGCGTGCAGGAGGCAGCCAATCGAAGTTTTGAGCGAGGAAGAAAAAGATGTCTCTTTGCTATTAGAAAGATAAAACAATTCAGGAGCCTGTGGTTATGTCTTCAGTGAAGGTAAACTGATCAGATGGAGAAGAAGTGGACTGGGTAGAGTATCTAGGTTCCAAGCTACAGAAATTTCTAGAATATGGACAAAAAGATTTTTAAAAAGAGAATAGAAACTAATTTCTGTGGGGCAGCGGCAGTTTTGTTTGTATCATCTCATGCAATCCCCCCTGCGTCCTCCTAGGGTGGGTCTCTCATTCCTTTGAGAGCTGGGAAGACCCACTTCCTAAAGAGCTTGCTGCCCACAGGTGTGGCAAGGTCAGCACACTCGGCCTCTGCCTTTCCTACTGCCTTCCTCTACGCCTGGAGCCAAGGTCAATCCGGGATTTCTGCAAGCTAGGAGGAGATGACTCTAGGGGCGCTGTAGGAAGTCTTGCCCAGGGTCCCACTGCTTAGTCGGAGGTCACACTGGGAAGCAGGTCAGGAGGGGAACTGGAGAGCCTGGAAATGGCCACCACTTACATCTGAGGGGCCTCAGGTCACCCCGCAGCGAGCGGGTGGAGGTGAGGGAACCCACACCACCCTTTCTGCAACTGTTGGAGCGGAGCGCTGTGATGTGTCCATTCCTGTGACCCGTCCCCTTCTTTCCCCTAGACGCTCTCCGGAAGACCTTCACTTCCCTGGGCTTTGAAGTCTGGAGTTTCTCCCTTCTGACCATGGAGGATATGATTCATCATCTTTACCAAGTCGCCTATAGGACGCACCACCAGGACAAGGACAGCTTTGTGTGCGTCCTGGTGAGCCGAGGGGGCTCGCAGGGCCTGCTTGGCGTGGACCGGACCCACGCGGGGCTGCCTTTGGATCAGATCAGGAGGATGTTCAGGGGAGATGCGTGCCCTTCTCTCTTGGGAAAGCCAAAGGTCTTTTTCATTCAGAACTACGAGACAGCAGAGGGTCAGCTGGAGGACAGCAGCCTCCTGGAGGTCGACGGGCGAGCAGCGAGCAACATGGATGCCACGGCCTGGCAGCCTGAGCCCTGCACGGTTCACCCAGAGGCAGACTTCTTCTGGAGCCTGTGCAAGGCAGACGTGTCTCTGCTGGAGCGGTACCCCACCTTGTCATCCCGGTACCTGCAGTGCCTCTCGCAGAAGCTGCAGCAGGAGAGGTGAGCCGCCCGGGTGCCTGGCTGGCCCGGAGCCCTAGCCCTGCAGCCCCCACCCTCCCTCCCAGTGGTGGTTCGGCACTAACGGGTGCGCAGAGCAGGGGTGCCTCTGGGTTCCAAGGTGGACACTCAGGGCGCCAGCGGCATTACTGGCCTTTTATATGCGTCCTGCATGTGCACAGACCGTCCAGGTGGGTCACTGTTTGACTCAGTTGCCCCTTGGGGAAGGGGACCGAAGTCACACGCCAGAGTGCTGCCTGCTGGTTTGAATCAATCGCTAAGCAGCTTGTAAAGTATTTAGAAAAGAACACTTTCAAAGCACTTTCCCATCAGTTGGCTCATTTAAAAAAAAATTTTTTTTTTTTTAGCCAACCAGCGTGGCTCAGCAGTTGAGTGTTGACCTATGAACCAGGAGGTCATGGTTCGATTCTCCGTCAGAGCACGTGCCCAGGTTGCAGGCTTGATCCCCAGTGGGAGGGCGTGTAGGAGGCAGCTGATCAATGAGTCTCATCATTGATGTTTCTTTCTCTCTTACTCTCTCCCTTTTAATGAAAAATATTTTTTTATTGATTTTTTACAGAGAGGAGAGGAGAGGGATAGAGAGTTAGAAACATCAATGAGAGAGAAACATCGATCAGCTGCCTTCTGCACATCCCCTCTGGGGATGTGCCCTGCAACCAAGGTACATGCCCTTGACCAGAATCGAACCTGGGACCCTTCAGTGTGCAGGCCAACGCTCTATCCACTGAGCCAAACCAGTTTCGGCAATAATAATATATATTTTTAAATATATATTTTATTGATTTTTTTTACAGACAGGAAGGGAGAGGAATAGAAAGTTGGAAACATGGATGAGAGAGAAACATCGATCAGCTGCCTCCTACACCACCCCCCCTATTGGGGATGTACCCGCAACTAAGGTACATGCCCTTGACTGGAATCGAACCTGGGACCCTTCAGTCCACAGGCTGATGCTCTATCCACTGAGCCAAACCAGCTAGAACAATAAAAATATTTTTATTGTTGATAGTATTACAGGTATCTCCCCTTCCAGTCCCTACTCCCTCCCCAGCCCAGGTCTTTGGCTCATTTCACCGTAAGGACGACCTGTCTCCTCTTCGATGTTTGCATGCCATCAACTCTTGCTTTCCTCCTCTCCCCCAGACGACGGCCACTTGTGGATCTCCACCTTGAACTGAACAGCAGTGTGCACGACTGGAACCTCGGAGTACCCGAGAAGGAGAAGTACCACGTCTCGCTGCAGCATACCCTGAGAAAGAAACTCTTTCTCTCTGGCAAATGAAAAGCCAAGGACTAATCAGCAGGCCCGCTTCTCCCAGCAGGGAACATGCCTAGATTGCAGGCGCCATCCCCGATGTGATGTGGGAGGCAGCCCATTCATGTCACTCTTTCTCAATCCCTGAAGTCCATAATCCAAAAACAGAGTAAAGGAAAAGCAAAAGACCTTTCTGCAATCCTGCACTCTCCCTCCTAGGCAGAGTTCACCAATGGGAGAAGAAGTCCTGGCTGGTGTGGAAATGACCCTCCCAGGGGCATGTGGGGGTGGGGGTTGTGGGGAGGAGTATTTGAGTAGAGCTTTGAGGTGAAGGCCTTGGCTGCTGTTCCTGCAACAGCCTCTCCAGTCATGACCCACACGTTGAGAACCGCTAGCTGGGTCCCCTAAGACCATCGGAAAACACAGATGTTTACATTACGATTCATCCCAGTAGCAGAATTACAGTGATGAAGTAGCAACAAAAACAATGTGATGGTTGGGGGTCACCACCACATGAGGAACTGTATTAAAGGGCCGGCATTAGGAAGGTTGAGAACCACTGCTCTACAAGGAGCTGTGTGGGTGAAGGGTGGGGGTGAAGGGAGGCTGTGGCCCCTGGGGAGCACCCTGTTCTGCTCACCGAGGCCCGTCTGAACCCTAAGGCCAACCGAGAGAAGGTGATCACATTGGAGACCTTCAACACCCCGCCATGCCCGTGGCCACCCAGGCCGCACCACCAACATCGTGATGGACTCGGGGACAGGTCCCCCACACAGTGCCCATCTATGGCGGTACGCCCTCCCCACGCCCTCCTGCGCCTGGACCTGGCGGGCTCCCTCCTGAAGATCCCCATGGAGCGTGGCCCCCGCTGCACCGGACTTGGAACAGGAGGTGGCCGCCCTGGGGAAGAGCTACGGGCTGCCCGGGGCAGGTCATCACCATGGGTACCGAGCAGTGTTCCTGCCACAAGGCGCTCTTGTGGAAGCGCAGGTGGAAGCACCACGTGGAAGCACCAGGTGGAAGCGCCACGTGGGAAGCACCACGTGGCAGCACCAGGTGGAATCACCACGTGGGAAGCACCACGTCGCAGCACCAGGTGAATCACCACGTGGGAAGCACCACGAGGCAGCACCAGGTGGAATCACCACGTGGGAAGCACCAGGTGGGAAGCACCACGTGGAAAAGCACCACGTGGCAGCACCAGGTGGAATCACCACGTGGGAAGCACCACGTGGCAGCACCAGGTGGAATCACCACGTGGGAAGCACCACGTGGCAGCACCAGGTGGAATCACCACGTGGGAAGCACCACGTGGCAGCACCAGGTGGAATCACCATGTGGGAAGCACCACGAGGCAGCACCAGGTGGAATCACCACGTGGGAAGCACCACGAGGCAGCACCAGGTGCAATCACCACGTGGGAAGCACCACGTGGCAACACCAAGTGGGAAGCACCACGTGGAAAAGCACCACGTGGCAGCACCTTGCAGCACCGTGCAGCCAGATGCAGAAGGAGATCACCGCCCTGGCTCCCAGCACCAGGAAGATCAAGTTCATCGCGCCCCTGAGCCCAAGCACTATGGCTCAGGGGCTCCATCCTGGCCTCGCTTCCGCCTTCCAACAGGTGTGGAGCAGCAAGCAGGAGCAGGAGGAGTCTGACCCCTCCATCGCCCACTGCAGATGCTTCTAGGCAGACGTTACCTCATTGGTTACACCCCCCCCTTTTTTTTTCCTGGGTCCCCACAGGAGGTTACGTAACTAGTGCAGAAAACCAGATGAGATTGGCATGGCTTTTTTTTTGGGGGGGGGGGGGCGAGGGAAAGGGGGGCGCTTGACTCGGGATTTAAAAACTGGCACCATGAAGGTGACAGCAGTCTGTTGGAGCGAGCACCCCACAGTTCTATACTGTGGCCAAGGACTTTGAACGCAGTTCTTTTTAAAAATAGTCATTCTAGTCATCCTCCAGTCAAATACCAGAGATGCATTCTTACGGGAGGTCCCTTGCCTACCCCAAAGAGGCCCGCTTCTCCCTAAGAAGGGCCAATCCTCGCTGGAGTCCACTCAGGGAGGGCCGATAGCATTGTTTTTGTGTAAATTATGTAGTCCACACTTTTAAATCTTTACCTTAATACTTGCTCTTTTTGTTTTATTTTGAATGGCCCCCCATCTTGTCCCCAACTTGAGATGCATGAAGGCTCTTGGTCCTCCTGGGAGTGGGTCGAGGTGTGGAGGCAGCCACGCAGGGCTTACCAGTTTAATAAAGTGCACACCTTAGAGAAAACAACAACAAAAAAACAAAAGCCAGACACAGAGAGAGAGATTTAAAAAACAAAACCCACGAGAGAAGCATTAAAGTGCTGGTGGCCCTGGTGGAGCTCCATCCGGATACACCAACATTGCAGGGTCCACTCCTGGTCAGAGCACGTTGGAATCAACCGGTGAATGCGTAAATGGGTGAACCAACAAATCGCTGTTTCTCTCTCTCTCCCTAAAAGTCAGTGAGTAAATTAATTAATTAAAGTGCTCCTCTCTGAAGTTAGTGGAGGTCATGACCTTACCCTTCCAGCCCCATCCTCTCCCACATAGCTGGTCTTATCCCATCTGCCTGACATGATGAAAATATAGGGCAAGGCAAACCAACGGCTTTTCTTTCCTTCCCTCTCTCTCCTTTCCCTCTTTTTAAAACAATTGTTTGTTTGTCTTTATTTATTTATTTATTTAATGGATTCTAGAGAGAGGAAGGGAAGGAGAGGGAGAGAGGGAGAGAGGGAGAGAGGGAGAGAGGGAGAGAGAGAGAGAGAGAGAGAGAGAGAGAGAGAGAGAGGAATATTGAAACATGGATCAGCTGTCTCCCACACACACCCGACTGGGGATGGAACCTGCAGCCTGGGTGTGTGCCCTGACCAGGAATCTAACCCACCACCTTTTGGTGTATAGGCCTATGCTCCAACCAACTGAGCCACAGCAGCCAGGACTAAGCAATCACTGATTAAATTATGCCGTGTTGTCTGTTTCTTTACTTCTGTTGTTTTTCTTATTTGCCTTTGATTACATTGTTTTTATTAATACCTTCCATCAGTCAATTCCCAGAGCCAACGAGAGCAATGCTATCGCCCTCCCCAAGTGGACTTCAACGAGAGCAATGCTATGTGCTTGCTGGTGTGTTTTGCTCACTTTCAAGGGTCTGGGGAGGAGTAAAGAGGGAGTAAAACAGGAGGATGAAGGCCTTGCCTACGTCACAGAACTGTTCCGAGGAGGAGATGAGAGAGCCTTTATGATCATGTCCAATGAGAGAGTGTTTATAGCTTCTTATCATTATTATTTTTAAAAAAATATATTGATTTTTTTCACAGAGAAAAAGGAAGAGGGATAGAGAGCTAGAAACATTGATGAGAGAGAAACATCGATCAGCTGCCTCCTGCACACCCCCTACCGGGGATGTGCCTGCAACCAAAATACATGCCCTTGACCAGAATCGAACCCAGGACCTTTCAGTCCACAGACTAACGCTCTATTCACTGAGCCAAACCAGTTTTGGCTATCGTTATTATTTTTATACCACACTGTGGAGGAGTTATTTTGGAAAGGTTGAACCAAACCTTGAGAAGTTGGTAGGGTTTTGGCAGGTTGAAATGGAGAAGAGAGTATGTTCCCTGAGAGGATCCAAACCAAGTGAAGGAGCAGAGAGGAGTGATGTGAGGGCTCAATCCCCAGTAGAGGGTGTGCAGGTGGCACACTATCAATGATTCTCATTGTTGATGTTTCTATTTCTCCCTCCCCCTTCCTCTCTTAAATCAATAAAAATATATTTTAAATAAGTATGTATATAGGTAAGAGTTTACATTGAGCTATTGAGCTCAAGGAGCTGCCCACCTTGAGCATAACTTTTAGCTGGAGAGGAGAGAATGGGAGTAAGGGCGAGCTGCAAGCCAGGAGATGTGGTTAGAATGTCAGAGCCTTAAAGGTCTGCATCTTTGTCTTTTAGTCAGTTATCATGTAAGTTATTTTTCTTACTTTAATCATGACTATTTTCTTGGACACTTTTGTATACAACCATTTGATTATTAAATGCGTATTTTATTTTTTTTACTGAGTATAGTTTTGTTTTGTTTTGTTTTTAAAAAAATATTTTATTGAGCCCTAGCTGGTTTGGCTCAGTGGATAGAGTGTTGGCTTGTAGACTGAAGGGTCCCAGGTTAGATTCAGGTCAAGGGCATGTACCTTGGTTTGGGCACATCCCCAGTAGGGAGAATGCTGGAGGCAGCTGATTGATGTTTCTCTCTCATTGATGTTTCTAACTCTCTATCCCTCTCCCTCCTTCTCTTTAAAAAATCAATAAAATATATTTTTAAAAAAATGTTTCATTGAATTTTAGAGAGAGAGGAGGGGAAAAGGGCAGAGAGGATGAATACTCCTATGCCTACAACCCAGCTTAAATCAAATGTTCTAAAATATATATATGAAGTTTCTTAAGATATTACTTTAAGTAGTAATCCTAAATATAAAAGAGATAAATGTACTAAAATATTTCAAACCCAATAACAGCTCTACTCTGAGAATTAGCCAAATGTTCACTGGCTGTAATTTTATATAACCATTAAAATTATGTATACAGCCCTAGGTGGTTTGGTTCAGTGGATAGAGCATTGGCCTGTGGACTGAAAGGTCCTGGGTTTGAGTCCAATCAAAGGCACATGCTTAGGTTGAGGGCTCAATCCCCAGTAGAGGGTGTGCAGATGGCAGACTATTAATGATTCTCATTGTTGATGTTTCTATTTCTCTCTCCCTCCCCCTTCCTCTCTGAAATCAATAAAAATATATTTTAAATAAGTATGTATATAGGTAAGAGTTTACATTGAGTATTAAGTAATTAAGTAAACTTAACCAAACATGCCATAATAACTTTTATTTGGTAACTATAGACTTTTAACATTAAAAGTTAAATACTTTTTTTGTATTAGTTTAACAAAACATTATATTTGTATTAGTATTTAAAAAAAATCTTTATTACCACATGACCTCACTCATTGGTGGACGATAAAGCTCTTTATAAACTGATGAACCAAGAGACAGAGATAGAGAAAGTAAAGCAACAGGCAGACTGTCAAATTACAGTGGGGAGAGGAGGAAGATCTGGGGTAGATAATAGATCAACCGAAGGACTTGTATACATGCATATAAGTACAACCAATGGACATAAAACTCTGGGGAGGGAGGAGAGGTGAGAGAGGGAGGGAGGAAGGGGGGTAAAAAAAAAATCAATAAAATATGTAAAAAATAAAATAAAATAAAGTATTTACTTTGGATAAAAAAAATCTTTATTGTTGAAAATATTACATGTTTCCTCCCACCCTCACTCCCCTGCCATTGACTTCTCCCAGTCTGCTCCCATCCCCCAGCACAGGAATAAAATCCATACAAATGTTAAGCAAGTTATATACCTGTATATTCTGTTAATATATCTATTGTTATTTGAAAGAGGCCTTTTCTGCCCTCTTCTATACTTTGTTTATAAATAAAAATATTTTAGAATATAGAAAAGTGTCAAGCTTTTGTGTGTTGATTTTTGTGTAGACACGTGTTCAAGTCATTTGGGTATATACCAAGGAATTGCTGAATTGTATGCTAAGCCTACGTTTATCTTTGGAAGAAAGTGCCAGGCGGCTTTCCCAAGTGCCTGTACTGTTGTTTCGGAGTTCCGTGACTCTGAATCCTTGCTAACGTTTGTTGGTGTCAGTGTTTTGGATTTTAGCCTTTTTAGTAGATGCGTAGTTTTAGTTTTTGATTACCTAATGACCTTTTTACTATGTTGGTTGAGCCTCATCTTTCATGAATTTTATCCTTGGGAAGTAGTAGTACAATGGGATCTGTGACAGTAATAGTCATAGTCACGTGGTGGGAGGGGGTCCATTTTTCCATGGGCTATTACCTTTTTGGTTGTTGCTTTTCTTACCTTTGGGGAGAAAATTTCTAAAGTCCCCTTAAGAACTTTCAGAGCAGGGGAAAGTATCTTATATGACTTTATCTGGGTTTCTTCCAATTTGAATACGGTCACTTAAAATTATAGAACTAGGTACTGAGTGCTATCAAAGCTCCTAGTTAAATTGAAGCAAGCTAAGTTGGGACTAGGGTCATTTGAAAGCTTCAGCTTCAGAAAGTGGACTCTGGATAAAAGTAGGCATGAATAAAATGACTAAGAATATAATAGGGAAGAATAGCCTGCTTACCTGTCTCTGAGCCATAAGGTCATCTAGCTAGGGCTAGATTTCTGAGAAATCAGGGTGAGTCTCCCCAAAAAGCTCCCTCCAGACCTTCTGAAGGGCCAAGTGTTGTGGGCTATTTGTTTTTGAAGTAACCACCCAGTATTTTTATTTTTCAGCACTTCTAATGCCTGGAATAGAGGAGCTGAAACTGGGAGAGGGCCTGGGAAGTGGAAATGACACATGTGTCCATTTATATACTCCCCCCTTTTAAGCTATTTCTATAAAAGTAAACTTGAACATAACTCTGGCTATTAAAACAAGGTCAAAACAATGCTAAAGCAACACAGAATTAAAAGAGAAATAAAACTACAGACATGTTAACATTTTCAGCTACAAAATGAAAATTATCTACTCAGAGTAAACACAATTATTTTTAGCTCATTCAGTTCTATAATCACATTCTGTTTCTCCTGATTTTTTTTTTGCCAGTATTTCTATAAATCCAGATACTCTATAGAATTCTAATAATTTTTATCCAATTCAAGGGGATGATCTAAAAGTTTATTCTCAAAGATATGTAGCTTAAAATAAATCAGAGTCTTTTTTATCGATCCTTTAGAAGATGTAACATTTTTCCAAATGCATCATAACAAAACAGTGACTGTCTCCAAAGATAAGAAATTTAAAATTATACGGTTATTGATTTGATTATAATGCAAATGACATGGAATCTTGTCCTATAACACACAATATTCTAAGCATATCAGAATCTGTTTAATATGCACATATAAATAGAATATAATTTTTGTTTCCTTATTTGACAGAACTTCCCATATACCTTAAGGATAAAATTTTCCTTCATGAAGAGAGAAAGAAAATCCTTGAGATATTCCAGGGCCCATTGGAATGACCTAAAGCCAATTCTAGGTCAAAAGTTTCTTAAAATTCAAACCCTGAAAAGGTAGTCAAATATATTAGACTAAAAGATTAGATATTATTATTATTTAACAGTATTGAATAATTTATTATTAAATACCACATAAGCTAGTAAAACTTCAATTCTTATGATTAAGAAGATAGGCTTTTAAGTAATCAAGTTCCTGACTAACATAACATAACTATTTTAATCCTACAAAATGAAAGAGTAATATGCATATTGACCATCACTCAAACACATAAGATGGCTGCCCCCATGTGGTCAAAGATGACTGCCCCTGTGTGGACACAAGATGGGCACCACAAGATGGCCAGCAGGGGAGGACAGTTGGGAGGGACCAGGCCTGCAAGAAAGGGTAGTTGGCAGAGGAGGGAACTTGGGGTGCGACTAGGCCTATAGGGAAGGGCAGTTAGGGGGAGGGGGGCGCCAGGCCTGCAGGGGAGAGCAGTTGGGGGTGACCAGGCCTGCAGGGGAGGGCAATTAGGGGTGACCAGACTGGCAGGGGAGCAGTTAGGCATCAATCAGGCTGTCAGGGGAGTGGTTAGGGGGTGATCAGGCTGGCAGGCAGAAGCAGTTAGGGGCAATCAGTCCTGGATTGTGAGAGGGATGTCCAACTGCCCGTTTACATCCCTCGAGGAGATGAGTGCAGGCTGGGCTGAGGGACACACATCCCTGTGCATGAATTTTGTGCACCAGACCTCTAGTAATACATATAAAACCTTTGCTTCCTAGGCAAATACAGGAAAAACTTCTCCCACCCTCCCCAGAAATGCAACTACGTGCAGGCCAGGGGGTTCACAGACGTCAGCTATTGTGTAATTAGTCATCAGGCAATGAGATGATGTTGATGAGTTGATTTCAAAAATAGGCTTAATTTTCCCATGGAAAATATACCGTGTTTCCCCAAAAATTAGACATCCTCCAAAAATAAGACCTACTTATGGGTTTCCTTCTGAGTGAAATATAAGGCAGCCCCCCGAAAATAAGGCACCCCCCCCCCCCCAGGCTAAACATGAGAGATTTGGTCCACTGATTCTGAAAGAAATGGAGTCACAAGAAATTCACCAGGAAATCCAGGAATTGGATTGTTATGATGATGTCCCAGAATATGATGACATGATTGTCATTGAATAAATGAGTAAATTCTTGATACTGTAGGATTCACAGTTTGTCTAGTTTGTGTGGACAACTACCGTACTACCGTAACGTATACAGGTAATAAATTTCCTTTATTTTCATTTAACAATAAATGTGTACCGTATTCTTCTTCATGGAAAAATGAGACATCCCCTGAAAATAAGACCTAGCTCATCTTTGGGAGCAAAAATTAATATAAGACACTGTCTTATTTTTGGGGAAACAGGATACTCACATATTAAGAAGTACAACAGAGATAACAAATCTTGACAGCCCTTAGGAGGCTGGAAAAAGTGGCTGTGTGGAGGGAGATGGCCGGCCCGGGGTTTGTTCCCCGGACTGGAGCAACTCCTGGGCCTCCAACGGCGTCAGTGTAAAAAAGTAAAAAAAAGGAAAAAAAAAAAAGGAAAAAAAAAGATTTTTTTCCTTTACAAGGAGAGTGCCCCCTCAACCGGTTGCTGCCGCTTCTGCAGCCTATTCAAGGGTGCTTCCGCAACTCCAGCCCTCTAGGATAAGTAGTTGGGGAGGTTAAAGGACTCTTTTCCATATTTTTCTTTCTCAGTAGAATCCTTCCATTACAGACAGGGAGACAAGAACCGTCACTAGAAACCAAACAACAAAGAGACACAAACAACAATCAACAGAGACACTCTTATATATAATATTTACAGGTGCGCATAACCCTCAGACAAGGCTTAATGAATCAGAGTCCTCTCCAGGGACCTTTCAGAAGATGTCTTACTGTGCTTAGGATTCATAGCCAGAATGTGGGACTTACAGTCAGAATGTGGGACTTACAGCCAGAATGTGGGACTTAGAGCCAGAATGTGGGACTTACAGCCAGTATGTGGGACTTAGAGTTAGAATGTGGGACTTCAGCCAGAATGTGGGACTTACAGCCAGAATGTGGGACTTACAGCCAGAATGTGGACCAGAAGGCTGCCAGCTGGGGTTGCTAGTGAACACCCACAAACAGAAACAACAGAAACAGAAGGTACCTTCAATATGCCAGTCTTACAGCGATGGAGACTTACAGATAACAGGTGCTGATTCAACCAGTAGCGAAGGCAGCTGGCAAAGTTCGTAAGCACTTAAGGAAAGTCCTCGAGTTAAATAACGCAGCAGCTGCTGGGGAGTTTATTGAAGTGTCTGTAAGAAGTTTCTCAAGTCCAGGTATTCACCCCGAGTCCTTTGTCAAATCCCGAAGCGTCTTACCTTAGGGTTCAGAGAGGGTGCCCCAGTGGAGTCACCAAAACATGTAACCGGGAAGCCCCCGGTTGGACTCAGGTTGCCTCTCGCTGTGTCCAATAAGGAAGGCAGGGTTGAATCATTTTAGGTGTTTAACGAGAAGGCTAGCCAACCAAGAAGACAGGGCATTTACAAGCATCAAATCCTGCCTTCTAGCCAGGTGCAGGGGACAGGATTATAAAGGGGAAGAGGCTGGGGTGCTATGTGCAGGCCTGGGGGTCTGAAGCCGTCGACTATTGTAATTAGTCACCAGGTGATGAGATGATGTCTTGACTCCTGGTGGGTCGCTTATCATTTCTGCTTGCTGGATTCACAGCTGAGTCACCTCCTCAATTGCTTTGCACACTTTTCCTTTGAAAAGGAAACTTAACCCCTATTCACATAAGTCTATGTGTTCTAAGATTTAAAATAATATGATTACTTTTCAGATTAATTCAGGTGCTCTATCTATTCTATAAAATAAAAGCCTAATGTGCAAATCCATGAATGGTGGAATGACGGTGGAATGACTGGTCGCTACGATGTACACTGACCTCAGGGGGCAGACGCTCAACACAGGAGCTGCTCCCATTGCAGGCCTCAGACCAGCCAAGGTGGGTGCCAGAGGCTCCCCCTCCTTCCCCCCATCACCCTCCTGGTCTTCCCATAGGTTGGCCCTGATTGCAGGCCAGGCCTAGGGACCCTTACCTGTGTACCAGGCCTCTAGTTAGATTATAAGTCCTCCCTGACTTATAATTTCCTAGAGCTTTCCATTGGCAAATGCTGCCTCCTGGAATTGAGGGACAAAAGTTTTGAAATAAACTTTTGCTCTTTTGGCCATTTCATTTTCATCCCTTAAGGGGCTTATTAGTCCCCAAAATTGTCAACTCCCGAAGCGTCTTACCTTAGGGCTCGGAGAGGGTATCCCAGTGGAGTCACCAAAACATTATTAAAGGCCTAAAATGATTCAACCCTGCCTTCGTTATTTGGGGCCTGATGACTAATTTGGGGGCCTGGGAAGGAAGCTGTCACTATTGGGAAAGTGATGTGACTGTGGGAAGGTGCGAGTACCGCATTCACCATTGCAGCCATCTTGACTGGAAGCTCCATTTGAACCATTTTTAAGGGTGCACTTTAGTGGCATTAAATACATTTACCGGTTGAGTGACCATCACCACTAGGACTCATCTTTCTTTTCTTTTTCTTCTTATTTAAAATCTTTACCTGAGGATATTTTCCCATTGATTCTTAGAGAGAGGGAAAGAGAGAGAAACATCAATGTCAAAGAAACACATTGGTTGGTTGCCTCCCGCAGGAGTCCGGACCAGAGCCTGGGGCGGGGAGAAGCCCACAACTAAATACAAGCCCTTGACTGGAATTGAACCTGGGACCGACCCTTTGTCCTCAGGCCAGTGTACTACCCACTGAGCCAAATTGGCTAGGGCAGGACTTATCTTTCTTAAACCCAGAAGTTCTCTAATGATACCCAGGATCTGGAAATGGCAGTTTAAAATTTGCTAGTACAGCATAATAAGTCTTACTTATTTTCAGAGATAAAGTATCTTTCTAAGATTCTGGACTTCTTCCCTGAAGTTGACAACATTCGAATTATCCTGTAGTGATTTAGAGCCAAATTTGCTGATTTGAGTTTCAGGTTTCCCACTAGCTCTATGTATGACCTTGGGCAAATTACCTGATCTTTCTGAGTCTTAGTTTTCATGCCTTTAAAGAAGGGGTCATTGGGTGATTTGGTGAAGAAAACATGCCTGACATAGTAATTGTGATGTGTTAGGTATTGTTTTCATTCTTAGAAATAATGTCTTCAAATTCTCTTTCCTGCTGGACTAAATGTGCTATGAGGGCAGAGACTGCATCGGTTTTGTCCACTGTTAAATGTCTTCTTTGCAAATACCTCAAATTGGTGTACCTCTCAGCTCCTCCTCCTCCGCTTCCTTCTTTTTCTTCTTCCTTTTTGCTTAAAAACATTTTTTTGTTTGTTTGTTAATTTGTAAATGGAGTTGTTGAGAAAAGATTAAGATGGGTGACTACTATTTATGAGATTCTGGGTTTTATTTTAAAGCTTAAGTGAATTTGGGGAAGGAGGAGGTTGGAAAAATGGACATTTTTTTTAAGACATAAAAAATAAAAATGGCTGGAACACTTAAATATTGAGCTCTACAGTGTGTATCTGCCTTCTTTTTGTATCTGCCTTTAGGAGGTGCTATTGATCAAGATTATCCTAACACCAGCAAAAGGCAAGGGGGCAGGCGCAGCGATGACATCAGAGGAAATTAACATTAAACTTGAGGGGCGGGCCAGTATTCATTGTAAGTATTCAAACTCAGCAGCAAGTCTGAAGTTTTCCTCCCTTGTAAATAGATGTTTTCTTGAAACTTGGAGCACAGAGAGGATCCTAATTCCTTTAAAACTTTGTTTCCAGGTAATTTCCCCAAGAACCACTTACTTCCAGAGGATCCGTGGACTCTGATCTGAAGGTATGTAATTAACCCCTTTTCCCTGCGGCAGGAGGGGGTCTTACACTCCAGCATTTCCCCCTTGCTTTCTGAAACTTGCAAAAACTTGCAAAAACTCTTGTTTTCTGCAATGGCACTACTTCTGCCTGGATTTATTAGCCTTCCCAGGGAAAGTGAATGTTTAAAAAGCTCTAGGAAGGCTTCGACACAGCCTTTTACCGGAAGAAATACCCTAGTCTCCGAACAGGAAGCTAGAGGTTTAAGAACTTCAGGAAACTTCAAGGCAAATGTTTAATGTGTTAGAATAGAAAGATCCCATGGATGATCCCATTTTTTGGTTTCCTTTTTCTAATAATAAAAGTAATAGTGTGTATTGCATAAGATTTGAGAAACTCACACAGGAGTCCAGAAGAAAATTTGTATTTTATGAAATTATACCATCTAGATATAACAACTCTTTGTTATTGATGTTTCATTCTGCTATGTTCTCTTTCCTTTAGAAAGTAGTTCATTCTCTTTCTAAATACCCAAGGCTTGCATAGTGGATATATACTTTGTCCTTATATTATGAATAATATTACATTGAAAAATGTTATCAATTTATTGATCCTCTTATTCGTATGAAATTTAGTATAGATAGGACCAGTTTATGAACTAGTTATGTGGAAATCTTGACTTAGTTACTTTGTGACTTTCTATATTGATTTGAACTTCCCTGTATGTCTGGGATCTAGGATTATGGCCGCTCTTTCTGTGGGTTTCAAACCAGTCCTGTTATGGTTAGTAATATTTCCTTGGTATCCTTGAGTTGGTAAGCACTCAGAAATATAACCTCCACCCCCAGTTGCTTTATTTCTAAAATATGGGGCATAAATCCAGTGCTAATTCTGCCATTTGATGGCAATAACTTAAGAGTTCCAACCAGACCTACGCTAGCTCAGTGTACGTCGTACACCGAGGCTTCCGGTGCCTATTTCCAGTCAAGAATCAACCGATGAATGCATAAGTATGTGGAACAACGGGTTGATGTTTCTCTCTCTCAAAATCAACAAATTAAAAATAAATTTAAGCCTAGAAGTGCTCCAACCGGAAGATGAACTCCAACGGGGACGGTTGTGCTGAGTTGTCCATGTCACTCGCTTCTACAGGGTCATTTGATTTCAGAGAATCAGGGTCCATGGGTTCCCAAAAGCTCCCTGCAGACCTCCCAAAGGGTTCACAGACAAGTGTTGTCTGTTGGTTTTTGAAATAACTGTGCAATCATTTTCATGTCAGTTAATTTTTACGTTTCAGCACTTCCAGGAAAGTCTAATGCCTGGAAGGGAGGAGGCTGACGGTGGGAGAGGGCCTGGGAAGGCGAGGTGCCCCATGTCCCTCCTCCCTCACGGGCTACCCCATCTCTCTGTCTCTTCCAGACTAGCCATGTCATCTGGCGTTCGGAGTCGGAGTCCCAGTCTGGAGGATAACGATAGGAAGAAGTTTCGCACAAGGCTTCTGAATATTGATTCAAACCTTGGAGACTCAGAGGTGGAAAAATTAAAGTTTCTCTGCCAAGACTTCATCTCCTACAGGAAGCTGGAGAAGGCCTGCTCGGCCTCGGATATTTTTGAGGATCTCATGACCAAGGACCTGCTGAATGAGAAAGACCCCTTCCTCCTGGTGGAACTGCTCTACATCATGAAGCAGAACTCATTGCTGAAGCACCTCAACTACACCAAAGAGCAAGTGAAAGCCCTGCTGCCCACCCAGAAGAAGGTGTCCCCATACAGGTGAGGAGGGGACTGCCATTAAGGCAGAATGGGTTTCCAGTTAGGGGTTCTTCAAGCCACCGGGCCTTGAAAGGAGACTGGGTTTTCAGGATCTCACTCATATGTGGAATCTAATGAACCAAATACACTGGTGATCAAAAATAGACCCAGAGACATAGAAGCGCTGCCTTATGGGAAGTGGGAAGGCGGGGTCGGGGGTAGGAAGCAACCAAAGAACTTGTATGCATGAATGCGTAACCCGGGGACACAGACAATGGGGCGATGAGGGCCTAAGGGGTAGGGGCAGAGGGCCTAAGGGGCAGGGGAAGGGGATGGAAGAGGTTAGTGGGGAAAAATGAGGGCCTATGTAATACTTTCAACAATAAAGAAGAAAGAAAGGAGACTGGGATTAAGATCTCTTAGGTCTCTTTCTCATCCACCTCCTTGGGTGTCACTGATAAAGGCAAAAGGCTGGGGTTCGTGGGGCCTGGCAGTGGCTTTCCTCAGCTCTGTATCTACCGCCAAGGGGAGCCCACCCCAGCACAGCCGGCCCAGGCTTTTCTCCTTCCCAGTCTCTGCGCCCTCAGACAGTCCTCTCTTCTGGGTGTGTCTGCCAATATCCAGTGATTTGAGAAGGAAAAATGGTGCATAATACTAGTAAGCAGGCCTATCATGGTCAGACCTTGGACATCACTGTTTTACATTGTCCCCTGACATGGTAGCTGCCGAGCCCCTCACAAGGAGGAGCCTTCGAAGCGCTGCCTTATGAATCGCTTGGGTGCTTGTGTCCTTCAGTTGACCTTGAGATCCCCTCGGCTCAGCACGGGAATGCAGGACATCATTATTCCCACTCTGCTGTTCAGCAACCGAGGGCTGGTCCCTGGCGTGCAGAGGCACCCGTGCGTGAGCAAAAGGCTCAGTTTTTCTGGTGATTCACGATACGACTCCCCAGAAGCCTGGGCATTGTCCTTTCTTTTTCAAGAGTGGACTTGACATTGCCCGGCATCAGGTTCTCTGTGACACGGGCTTATAGGGTAACCCGGAATTCCTCCAATGGAGTTGGGAGATAGAAGGCTCGTGTTCTATGCTTTCCTGGCACTGGCCTTGGGACCAGAAAGCCTATCCCCACTGTTTACGGTGTTAATTTAAGAGGCCGCTTGGAAGCTCAAAGTTTTAGTTTTCGAATCTGTAAAGTGGGATTAATCACAGGGCTGTGGTCATGTACCCGAGACAGAACCTCGGTAGATGTACTCGATTCACCGTGCGGTGCCCTGCACGTGAGGCTTCATTAGTCTCTTCGGGTGTGTATCTTAGAAACCTGCTCTATGAACTCTCAGAAGACATCGACTCAGAGAGCTTGAAGAAAATGATCTTCCTTCTGAAGGAGTCCTTACCCAAAGTCGAGACGCCGGTGAGTGGGTCATACAGAGTGGGGTCTTTGTGAGCATCGCTTTAATCCGTGTTTGGGAAGATGCTAGGAAGGCTTTCAAGGTGGTTTACTTTTTGCGGGAGACAATATCAGTCAAAGGTTAGGAATATCGATGTTGGGACCTGGATTCGAGAGCTGGTTCTGCGACCAGTTTCTCCATATGGGAGGCTAGTGATCGGAGATTTCTGAGTCTCCATTTTCTCACGTACCATGCCAGCTCCTTCCCGCACGGTTAGGGGGATTCAAGAAAACAAGGTATGTGAGGCATGATCATCGGGCCTGGGTTTGACAAACAGGAACCGTGCAGTGAGTGATTACCTGCTACTGACATCCACTATGTTTATGTTACAGAAATGTCCACTGCACAACTAGGGAATGAGGAGGTGGGAAATAAAGGTCTCTTTCTCATCCACCTCCTTGGGTGTCACTGATAAAGGCAAAAGGCTGGGGTTCGTGGGGCCTGGCAGTGGCTTTCCTCAGCTCTGTATCTACCGCCAAGGGGAGCCCACCCCAGCACAGCCGGCCCAGGCTTTTCTCCTTCCCAGTCTCCGCGCCCTCAGACAGTCCTCTCTTCTGGGTGTGTCTGCCAATGAGAAAGAGACCTCTTTGTGTACAGGACAGCACTCCAACCAGCTGATCCACACTGGCCAGGGTCTCTCTTTTTTGATATTAGCAACTATTGATGTTTAACAGTTTTATATATTAATTCTTTGGGGGTTGCAAAATGGGATTTTTGAATTCTGTAACTTGTTTCCCCCTTGTCTATTTGGTTACCTGGTGATACAGTTAATATGTAAATCCTAGATTCTTTTATTTACCCAGTGTTTATGATGACTGCCTGGTTTCCTGTCATTCTCTGAAAGTGACCCATTATAAAGAACAAATCTGAATTCATAGATTTAAACATATTTGATGGCTTTCAGTTATTATCCTCATTGAAGTTCACATTGTCCCATTTTTGCCCAGTAGTAGTCTCTTCAAGTTGGTTCCTGTGTCATTTTTACATGAATTCAGTGTGATTATTTACAACAGTTGAAATTTTACTTTGCATGTACTATACCTATTATCTCCCCCCTTTTTTTTGGTTGCAATATATCTACATTGTTAGAGTACAAGGCCATATGTGTATATACTACACAATCTTCTTTAACATTTTTATTTATTTTATGTTTATACCTTCTTTTAATCTTCATTTAGTTCTCTTTCTACAATTAAATATGTATGTGTCATTGGTGTTCCACTATCCGGTAAAGAATTTATTTCTCAGATCGAATGTTTTTGCAATTGCAATTGCAGATTATGTGGCCTTATTAAGTTCTTGTATGGAAACCTAGGTGAGTTTCCATACCAGTACTTCTTAGACTGCATCACACATATACACACACACTCCAATGAACACATCCTTATATTATATTACTGTTCTAATTTCCTCCTTCTCTCTACTGCCAAACTGCTTGAAAGGAACACACTCTTTCTTCACTCCATTCTTTTTTTTTTTTTTTTTAATATATATTTTATTGATTTTTCACAGAGAGGAAGAAAGAGGGTTAGAGAGTTAGAAACATCAATGAGAGAAAATCATCTATCAGCTGCCTCCTGCACACTCCCTACTGGGGATGTGCCCGCAACCAAGATACATGCCCTTGACCAGAATCGAACCTGGGACCTTTCAGTCCACAGGCCGATGCTCTATCCACTGAGCCAAACCTGTTTTGGCAGCTGTTTCATTTTTAAAATGGAGATTATAGTAGTATCTACCTCATTGAGTTGTTTTTGCAGTTCATACCGTAGATGGCAAGCACTGAATGGCAGGTAGTATTCAGGGTGTCCCCCAAAACGTATACACACTTTGAATAATTAAAAAAGGCAGTATTTATTAAAATATATTCCATTTTCAAAATGCAATAGAAATTGCAGACACGATGTATACACGTTTTGGGGGGACACCATATATACTAGTATACTGGCTTTTGATATTAATACAGATTGCATGGAGACTTACTTGGTAATACCTCTTTCCCCACACTATTGAACTACTCTGGGATAAACAACCTACCTTATTCATCAATGCAAAACCTGATGTCTTGTGGCCATGTAGGCAGTGTTCAGTGTATGAACGGATAATCGGTAGGCAAGTAAATGTGACTCCATTGATTCTCTTTGCAGACCTCGCTAAGTTTCCTGGCACATCTGGAGAAACAAGCTAAAATACATGTAGATGATCTGACGTTGCTGGAGGATCTCTGCAAAAATGTCTTACCTCATCTTGTGAGAAAGATAGAAAAATACAAAAGAGAGAAAGGTAACTAACATATGCTTCCTTGCTTGCATCAGACCATGAGAATTCTTCAATGATCTGGTCACGTATGATGTTATCAATCTGATACTATTCTCTGGGAAAGCCAGAACTCTCCTGAGCTCATTCATTCAACTCATTGATTGAGTGCACACTTTGTGCTAGATACAGGTTTAGAAGCTCCACTTGGGAACTTGTATTCTAGTGGGAGAAAGTAGTTTTAGACAAATATCTTCTTATTCTTATGTGGCAGTGAGAGTATAGGAAGCCAATTAGAATGAAATAACAAAAAGGTAGGCAGGACAGCACAAAGCTTATGCTGTGGAGTCAGAATGTCAGGGCACCATTTATTAGTGGTTCAGTGGCCCCTTCCTTACCATTTTTACACCTCCCTTTCCCTATCTATAAAATGGGGTAATGATAGTACTCACCTCATGGTTTTTCTTGAAGATATGAGTTTTATTGTATTTTAATTAATTTATTCACTGTTAATCCTCATCTGAGAATATTTTTCCCATTGATTTTTAGAGAGAGTGAGGGAAGGGGGAGAGACAGAGATAGAAACATCGATGTGAGAGAGACACATTGATTGTTTGCCTCCCACATGTGCCCCTACCAGCGCCGGAGGTCAAGCTTGTAAGCCAAATACTAACCCTTGATGGGGAATCAAACCTGGGACACTTCAGTCCAAGGGCTGACACTCTATCCACTGAGCCAAACCTGCTAGGACTTGAAGCTATGCATTTTATAATTCCTATGTAACACATGTCTGGCACAGAATAAAGCATTCAATACATGTTGCTATGTATATGTTTGTCAGAGAGGAGAGTCATGAAATTGTTCCTATGGTACTCTCAGAAATCACTCTCAGAGAAGAAATTTATTATTCTACCTGTCTGTTTTGTAAAGGTAGGATTGCTTTGGTATAGAGGTAATAGCACAGGGCAGAAATCAAACCTGTCTGCCTCACCAGGTATTGACTTGTGAAAATTTGTGTTTCTCTGAGTCTATTTCTCCACTGTTAAACAAGAGCTACAGATCAAAACTCATGAGTATATGAAGGAAGGCTTTATGCCACACCCATGTTTACTTTGGTGAGTCAATCTAGTGTGCAAATTTCTGTCATTGAAAATGAAAGTAGCTAAAAGGAAACACCTCTCTAAGAATTCTCTAAATACAAAATGAACTTTGGAACAAAATATATTGTTGTTAAATTGACAAACTCTTAAACCACAACTACACCAATGGATGAGTGTGTAATTTAAGTAAAAGTTGGGAAGAAAAAAAATACAAGTCTTCTACCCAGCAGGGTATTAAGAGGAAATAAAAAGCAGGAAGTGGATATCGAAAGTATCATATATTTGTAATCCTCGTCTGAACTCTGACCACTGAGGTTTTGTTTTCCAATCACATTGCCGTTTTCATGTTATGTCCTTGACACAAGGTAAACACAGGGCCGATGGGCAGAACTCTAGTTTAAAAAAAATTTTATTGATTTTTTTTTTTTTTTTTTTTACAGAGAGGAAGGGAGAGGGATAGAGTTAGAAACATTGATGAGAGAGAAACATTGATCAGCTGCCTCCTGCACGCCTCCTACTGGGGATGTGCTCACAACCAACATGCATGCCCTTGACCGGAATCGAACCTGGCACCTTTCAGTCTGCAGGCCAATGCTTTATCCAGGGAGCCAAACCAGGTAGAGTCAGAACTCTAGTTTTTATGCAGTAAGTGCCTCCATGAGTCTGGAGGTCTGAGCTTTAGATAAGAGGAATTCTAATTTTGACCCCACAAGCTACCTGCTGTGTGGTCTCCTTTGGGTGTTGAAAGAACAACTCGAGTTTTCTTCTACTAGCCCACCAGCACCCCGGGAACCCCTCTGAGCCCAGATGTGTGGGGTTTTCCAGACCCAACGATTCTCTGTGGACACCAACTGTGTCCTTCATTTAACTCAATTTTGACACGAACCAGAGTCAGCGCAGACCCTAACTCCATTCGCCAAGATCTCAGGCCCCCAAGACTGCACCCCCACTTCAGATGCCAATTACGAGGAGGGGGTCCCCAGAGTACGCACAGCATCTGTCCCATTTGGGTACAAGCCGGTGGGTCTCAGGATCCCCTCCTCAGGCTCAATAATTGGCTCGAATGGCTCCAGGACTCTGGAAACCTGATTCCTGCTCCGTTACTGGTTTATTATGAAAAGGAATAGCCACGGGGAAGAGACGCCTAGGGTGAGGGGGGGGGAGGACCACGGCGCGCCCAGGTCTCCAGGCAGTTCACCCTGCCACACCTCTGTGTGTTCACCAGCCCGGAAGCGCTCTCCCTTCAGTGAGATCATGGACCGTATGGTTCATTTGGCCTCTGACCCCTCTCTCCCTCCTCGAGGTCTGAGGGTAAGTTCCTCCAGTCCCATGATAGATTCTCCTGCAACCAGCCCCATCCTGGGGCTATCCAGGAGCCCCTATCACCAGGCATCTCCCAGTACATAACATTGCTTATAAAGTAGGATGTCATCCCTGAGTATCAAAGGAACAGATTTCATTAACAAGACTTGGACATTCACACACACACACACACACACACACACACACACACACACACACACACGGAGGCAGCTGTCATGGGAGTACTGAGCAGTGCAGAGGGTTTCCCACTTGTTTTGGCTTTATTTATTGGAAATGTCCAGAATTTGTGACAGGTCAAACCAAATCTGAGCCTTGATTGGGCTGCTTAGCTTCACTCTCTTAATGATCAAACAGATTGGCTTCACTGCTACAGCTGGACAACTCTTAGTATTTTTCTCTCTGGTTTCAAAAGATTCAGTGAAAGTTTGACCTAGAGCAGTGGTCGGCAAATGGTGGCTCTCGAGCCACCTGCGGCTCTTTGTCCCCTTGAGTGTGGCTCTTTCACAAAATACCACATGCAGGCATGCCCGAACAGTGTGATTGAAACTTCGTGGCCCTTGCGCAGGTTTTCGGCTCTCAAAAGAAATTTCAATCGTTGTACTGTTGCTATTTGGCTCTGTTGACTAATGAGTTTGCCGACCACTGCCCTAAGCATATAAAAGACACATCAGTGATTCCAAGGATTTTTTGGGAGCAAACAGCAAATGTATATTTATTATTGGATTATTGGTATCAATTAACATTTTAATAGTGACTTTCTACAGCCTAAGAGTTGGGGCTTAATTCTGCCATTTAGAATGAAGGACTAAAGGACTGAAAAGAGAGCAGGTGTGTGGATTTTAGATTCCCTGTGAGTGAGTATGAACCAAAGACAAAGGCCATTTGTATCTGCTTACGAACCACCAGGATAACTGCTTCAGTTTTCTTGAGTCTTGGTATGACTTAGTATTTTAAAGTTATTATAAAATATGTGTAATAATTACAATAAAATTAAATAATGTCAACAATACAGAGTATAGAAGGTAAAAGTCTCTCTCTTTTTCCTCCACTGACAACCCATACCCCAGAGATAAACACTGTTTAGAGTATATTTTTGTAGCCTTTCTTCTTTTTTTAAAATTTAATTTAATATTTTAAAATATATTTTTTTTAGTTGATAGCATTACAGATATCTCCTATTTCCCCCTCTTTACTGCCCTCCTTCCTACCCCTCCCCTCACCCCAGGTCTTCACCACCCTATTGCCCATGTCCATGGCTATGCATATTAGTAGATAAGTTTTTTGGTTTATTGCTTCTCGTCCCCCCACCCCACATGGAGATATGTCAGTCTGTTCCATGCCTCCATGCTTTGGGTCCTATTTTGTTGGTCATTTCATTTTTTTCATTAGATTCCTCATGTAGCCTTTCTTCTTTATAGAGATAATTGTGTGTGTGTGTGTGTGTGTGTGTGTGTGTGTAGATTAGTGTATATATTTAAGTAAGATCATGCTAATCATATTACATAATTTACTTTATTCTCACCTAATATATCTGACACTTTCCCATAGCTCACTCCTACTAATGGTTCCATAGAAGTACATTTGATGTACATATCATATTTCATTACCACTTTATAAAGCTGTGGTACATTTACACAATGGAATACTATGTGGCTGTAAAAAAACAAAACAAAAAAAAAAACAACAACAAAAAACACACACACACACACAAAAAAAAAACACCACACAGGAAATCTTACCCTCTTTGACAGCATGGATGGGCCAGGAAAGTATGATCCTAAGCCAGTCAGAGAAAGACAAATACCAGCTGATCTCACTAATATGTGGAATCTAATGAACAAAATAAACTGATGAAGCCCTGACTGGTTTGGCTCAGTGGATAGAGCATTGGCCTTCGGACTAAAAGGTCCCACGTTCGATTCCCATTAAGGGCAAGTACCTTGGTTGTGGGTACATCCCCAGTAAGGGGTGTGCGGGAGACAGCTGATTGATGTTTCTCTCTCATCGATGTTTCTAACTCTCTATCCCTCTCCCTTCCTCTCTGTAAAAAATCAGTAAAATGCATTTAAAAAAATAAACTGATGAACAAAATGCATACATGGAAGAGACTGGCTGATGCCCGAGGGAGGGGGCTGGGAGTGATTGGATACAGAGTGAAGGGATTAGCTGAAGAACATAGATGCATGGACATGGACAATAGTGTAGTGAAGGCCAAGGGAGGGGGAAGAGGATCATGTTATAAATTAGATAATCATTTCAAAAATTTAAAAGTCCTACGAAATTGAGAGGTTAGAACTTCAGGTACATAATACATTTTAAAATATAGTCCCCCCATTTTCCTATTGGTTCTATCCTGTTTCCCTGAAAATAAGACAGTGTCTTATATTAATTTTTGCTCCCAAAGATGTGTTAGATCTTATTTTTAGGAGATGTCTTATTTTTCCATGCACTAGGTCTTATTTTCGGAGGATGTCTTATTTTTGGGGAAACATGGTAGTAGGATTTCAGGAAACCTTGTCTAGATGGCAGAGACATACTGTCAGCAGGCGATGCAGAAACTTCTCCGAAAAGTACAACTTGCTTAAGAGGCCCCTGTGCAGAAATGGCCACGAGTTCTGCTTTTGTAAAATTTGAGCCCCATTAACTGCCAGGAGCTCTTCTTACTCCTCAGTGTTCACACTTCCTTCAAAAGTAAATGGAAAATGTCATTCATTGAAGCCTTGATTTTAGCGCTAGATTCACCACCTGTTGGCAATTAGTATACCTGGCACCATTGCTGACCACTTCACACATGAGCTTCATCTTAACCTCCTGTAATTTAGCAGTATAAATTGCATCTGCTTGGCAATCACTGGTATCATGCTCACCTTGTCACCAAGGCTTTTCATGGTTAAGAAATCCAGTGTCTTCAGTCCTCACTGGTTTGGCTCAGTGGATAGAGTGTTCGCTGTGGACTGATGGGTCCCAAGTTCGATTCTGGTCAAGGGCATGCACCTTGATTGTGGGCACGTCCCCAGTGCGGGGTATGCAAAAGGCAGCTGGTTGATGTTTCTCTCTCATTGATGTTTCTAACTCTCTATTCCTCTCTGTAAAAAATCAATAAAATATATATTAAAAAAAAGAAAAAAGAAATCAAGTGTCTTCAGAGAGTAGCCTGTTGGTGAGATGAGGCAGCGGCCCGCATGAGTCTGAGAAGGGTGGTAGTTGAAGAGACAATGCTTAATCTCCAGTTGTTCTTGGAGCAAGGCCTCAAAATGAGCATCTATGCAGTCACTATTGGTAGGTCTCTGTTTATCTGGTCACCAAGTCCCATTCTATTCACAATGGCCAATTGTAATGGAACATTACTTTATTGGAGTTCATATGCCTGAACGTTAGGTCTAACGTGGGGAAAATGGGAGGGTTCATGGTCTTCAAAATTAGTAATAATGTGTCAATCAGCATTGATTTCCCAATCCCAGTCTCCCCAACAAAAAGATTATTAAAACAGATCCTTGCGGAATGGATCTATTGACCAGCTGATGAGGCAAACTCTGAAAAACAACATAGCCAGACATCGTTGAAAAACAAATAATTTCTATTTTATTTATTTTTTTGCAGAAGCTGAGCAAAAAGAAAAAGAACTACTTTCTGCTTCAGACATTAATCAAATCCGTCAAGCCTTACCAGCAGGTTCATCGGTATGTTGGTAAATGTTTAACCACCAGCTCTGCTCTCCATCCCCAGCCTCAGAGAGAGAGAGATAGAGATACTGATTTCCAATTACTAATAGGATATTAACTGTATTGCAGAATTTAAAAAATCTAACACTAGCTCTCACTAGCTGGCTTGAGCTGACTCCAGTGCACTACTATCTTGTGCTGTGCCATTTGTTCTTATCTGTGGGGTTCAATCAGGGCTGGCCTCATGGGCATACAACCTATGCAGTCCCATATAGCCCATGCTTTTTTCACTGTCTTGAAATTCTTCTTTTTTAAAATATGTTTAAATTTTTTTCTTTTAATTTTAGAGAGAGAGGGAGAAGGATAGAGAGATGGAAACATTGAGAAAGAGAAACACTGATGAAAGAGAAACATCCATCCGCTGCTTCCTGCAAGCCCCCTACTGGAAATTGAGCCTTAAACCTGGGCATGTGCCCTGACTGGGAATCTAACCGTAACCTCCTGGTTCATGGGACAATGCTCAACCACTGAGACACACCAGCCAGTTGAAATTCTTTGTTTTTTTTTTTTTTTTTTTTTTTTTTAAAACCTCACCTGAGAATGTGTTTGCATTGGTTGAGAGAGAGAGAGAGAGGTATGAGCCTGGACCTCAGATCTAACCCACAACCTAGGTCTGTGCCCTGACTGGGAATTGAAATTCTTAATAATGTGTAACTGTTGTTTTGCACTGGTCCCCCACAAATTATGTAGTTATACCTCCCAGAGGACAAGAACAGAGTTTCTGTAGTGCGCAGCAACGGGAGAGTGGGGAGAGGGGGAGACACGGGAGAATCTGCAATCTGCCTCATACATGAGCAAGACCATTGGTAGACAGATGACATTCTTCCCAGGCTTTGTTTCTTTCCAGCAGACTTGGGCAGTTCTACTAGTGCTTTGCCAAACTCTGTCCACAGCAGTGAAGTTAGCTTGACCTTGGAAATTTTTGTGTTTGTGATTGTGGTAAAATACAAATACCATAGAATTTATCATTTGTAACCATTTAAAAAATATCTTTTTATTGATTTCAGAGAGAAAGGGAGTGGGAGAGAGAGACAGAGACATCAATGATGGGAGAGAATCACCGATTGGCTGCTTCTAGGAATCAAGCCTGCATACAGGGCATGTGCCCTGACCGGAATCTAACTGTGATCTCCCAGTTTGTGGATGAACCCTCAACCACTGAGCCACAGTGGCCAGGCATATCATCTTAACCGTTTTTTAAATGTACAGTTCAGTGCTGTCAAGTCCATTCTGTCAAGTAACCCATCCCCAGAACTCATTTTGTTTTGTAAAACTTAAACTTTGTAGCCACTAAACACTAGCTTCTCATTCCCCATTCCCACCAGCTCTTGGCAAACACCCTTCTACTCTCTGTCTCTATGAACTTGACTATGCTAGGAACCTCTTATACTAGTAAATGGAGTCATACAATATTTTGCCTTTTTGTGACTGGCTTATTTCATGTCATGTATAATGTCTCAACGTTCATCCATGTCAGAATTTTCTTCCTTTTAAAGGTTGAATACTCTTCCATTGTGCGTGTATCCCACATTTCGTTTATCCATTCATCCACTGATGGCGACTTGGGTTGCTTCCACCTTTTGGCTACTGTGAATGATGCTGCTATGGCCATAGTACAAATATCTCTTGTAGATCCTGCTTTCAGTTCTTTTGGATATTAACCCAGAAGTGAAATTGCTGGATCTTAGGATAATTCTGTATTTCATCTTTTGAGGAACCACCATACTGTTTTCCACAGCAGCAGCATCCTTTCTACCCATGATACACAAAAGTCCCAGTTTCCCCACGTCTTTGCCAACACTTGTTTTCCTGGTTTTTGATTTTCATTACTTCACTCATGATTAGTGATGTTGGGCATCCCCTTTTGTGTGCTTGTTGGCCATTTGTATATCTTCTTTGGGTAAATGGGTTGTTTTTTAAATTGGATTGTTTGTGGAATTTTTATTTTTTATTTTTAAAAAAATGTTTCCATAGCATTCCAGTCAAGATGATGGTGTAGGTAAACATGGTATTCAGAACCTCCCACAACCACATCAAAATTACAACTAAGTTATAGAACAACCATCATTCAGAATGTCTGAAAGGTAGCTGAACAGAAGTCCTGTAACTAAGGATATATAGAAGGACACTGGCAGGAAGGGTGGAGACATGGAACAGCCTGGTCTCACTCCTACGTGTGGCACTTAAAAATCGGGAGGAATATCTCAACAGTGGAGGTCCCCTCTGAAAGTACAGGAGTCCCAGCCCAACACCAGGGCTCCCAGCCCAGGGTTTCAGTGCTGGGAAGACAAGTCCCCAGAACTTCCAGCTGTGAAAACTAGTTGTTAAGTGAGACGAGGGGCTATGGGAGTTCCAGGCATTGTGCACAAAGGGCCCACACACTGACTTACTCAGACTCCCTTGCTCTGAGAATTCTTGCCACTGTGTCTTTGTGAACCTTCCCCTTTGGAAGAAGGGAGTTGATTCTCTTCTTGTCACCTGCCAGTGGCCTTTTCTATGGCTGGAGACTGGGCATCTGTCCTTTTCTGCATCAAGTCACCTTGTTTTAACATTTACATTTCAGGTTCATTGTAAGGGACACAACTCAAAAACATCTACGTGGAAAAGATCCACAGGGCAAGCGAGGAGAGTTGGGAGTGGCAGGGAGTTTCTGTACCTTCTCAGGGCACACCACCTCAATGTGTCTGCCAACCCATCAAGTCTAGATTTTCAACTCTCCTCCTAACTCTGTGACTTTCCTGCAGTTCCTCTTTCCTCAACATGAGGGGACTTGTCAAGATATGCCTGCAAGGAGTAATGGTAGATGTACCTAATGCACTTTTTATAACTTGGATCAGTATGGCAGAAAGAGATATATTTTACTTATACCTAATTATTCATTGTGACTTGGGAAAATGTTTACAAATTAGTGGAGAATTCATTTCTTTTAAAATATATATATTTTATTGATTTTTTTTTTTTTTAACAGAGAGGAAGGGAGAGGGAGAGTTAGAAACATTGATGAGAAAGAAACATCAATCAGCTGCCTCCTGCACTCCCCGCCCCCCCCCCTCTACGGATGTGCCCGACACCAAGGTTCATGCCCTTGGCCGGAATCGAACCTGGGACCCCTGAGTCCCCAGGCCGACGCTCTATCACTGAGCCAAACAAGTTAGGGCAAGAATTCATTTCTTATCTCAATTCAGAGGAAGCCAATGAATGCATGGATTATACCAGGCTTTTCTATGGGAAGATAAAGAGGTGGTTTCCACTTTGAAAGCCTCACATAACAGGTTCTGGGGAAAGTAAGCAACCCTTCAGGATCAGGATACCCTCTGTGAGGAGGGCGGGAACCCCTGGTGGCCCTGAGGCACCAGGCCAGCCATGACACAGCAGAATGCTGAGACTGAGGATGTCTGATATGGTGCTGCCTGCAGAGGGAGAGGGGCCAGAGGGAGGGGCTCGGCAGCGTGTGTTTATTTCCTTGAATCCTTGCCCAGAAACCATAACCTCAGGGAAATCTTTCAGACCCTGCTTTTGAGAGAACCTGCTTGTGAGCAAACAGGTTATTGGTTCCACACGCTCCACTTCCCTAGGAATCTTAACTGGGAGGTCACGTAATAGGATGTTGGCGCAAATTAACCATTTCTGAGTACTTGTTATGTGCCAGGCACTGTTCTAAGAGCTTTCTAAGGCTTATCTCACTTAATTCTTCAATCACATTATCACTGAATGATGAGGAAACCGAGACTCAAGAGGTCTTTCTAGAGTCATCGGCTAGAAAGGAGTGGAGCTGGAGTTTGGACCCGGCAGTCTGACCCCAGAGCTTGCCCTCCGAACACCTGGCTTGGCTGTGTAGCTGCAGGAGCTCAGGCCACAGCTTCACTCCTTTGAAAAATAAACGAGTTTCTTCCAGTTTTGCAATTCTGAAGCTAGTTGAAACATGGCTTCCCTAGGACCTTACCTTCTCCAAGGTGAGGAGCAATGTGCAGGTGCACCTCTCTGATTGACAGCAGCCTGGGTCCTTTCAGTGTGTTTTCTGGTCTGGCGGAGACTAGCCTCGCTCAGCCTGAGGTGAGCACCCAGGACAGACCCTTAACCATAACAGTAGTTAATGACTGACTCAGAGGCTAGGGTGGAGCTCGCCAGATTCTACGGAAATCTGGCTGGTGGGCGAAGAAAAGTTTCAAGGGACGTTTTCCTGTTTACTGTCCTATGACAACTCATCCTTGACTTCCTCTTTAGGATGGGTCCTTATTCAGAGAAACCAGGGGGTTTGCAGAAACCCTTCAAAGCACTGCAATCCTCAGCCAATGCCAAAAGCATGACTAAGTAATCCCAGTGCTATAGACTGATTTTTGTCTTTCCCAGATTAAGTCTCTGGGTCTTTAAAAATCTTTAATTGATTTCATTTATTTTTATTTTATTGTTGACCTTATTACAGATGTCCCCCATTTCTCATCCTTTATCTCCCCCCCCCCCTTCCTCCCAACCCCTGCCCTACTGCAGGCCTTCAGCACACTACTGTCCTTGCCCATTGGCTGTGCATGTATGCATATGAGTTCTTTGGTTAATCTCTTCCCATCTCCCCACTTCTTTTCCTTTGTATCTGCTCAGTCTCTCTCTAGCCAGTGACAGATACATGGTGACTCGACCCAAGCCAGCTTTCTACCGGAAACATTTGATCTGATTCATGTGGTGTTGACTCTCCACCCACCTGGTGGAAGGATATCTAAGGGAGAAGATATATTTGAAGAATATAAGTATTTCTCTTTCTCGGTGACGGAGTAACCCTGGTCTCTACGGCGATGTTGGGACTATCTGGTTGCAGTCTAACTTCTGAAACCAGCACAAAGGTCTGGACAGTTTCTTCGGGGCATCTCCGACTGGGGTCTCCCTGGGGTCTCACCCTTCGGGACTTTGAGGGCTCAGAGTTCTTTGTGTCTGTCTTGGTTCTTCTTCCTCTTTCCGTGATCATCTCTGTCCTTCCTATCTTTCTTTATAACCTCCAGAAAGTGCTGACACTTGGTTAGGAAGGGGACACGAAGGCTCTTTCAGTCACATATACTTTTTAAATTATTTTCAGAAATGGGAATTCCTTTTTTTATTGACTGATGCCACTCCTTGTCTGTTTGGATTCAAGATGTACCATGTTTTCAGGAGATCATTTTAGCCACACAGAGGCCCCGCTGAAGCCAGCTCAGATAACTTGTAATCATAGGCTGTTTGTGATAGCCTTCTGAAATAATTGCATACATTTTAAAATTCCCACTGTGATCACTACCAAAGAGATTTCTCTGCTGTAGGAGGAAACAGATCACTCTGAGTCTTACCATCTGAAAAAAATTACCATTTGTATTTCTGTTGTCTTGTTAGGTCCTTACCTATACTTTCTTCACTTTGCTCATCCAAAAAGGAAGATGCGCCGAAAACGGTTTGACTCAGTGGATAGAGGGCCGGCCTGCGGACCGAAAGGTCCCGGGTTCAATTCCGGTCAAGGGCATGTACCTTGGTTGCGGGCACATCCCCAGTAGGGGGTATGCAAGAGGCAGCTGATCGATGTTTCTCTCTCATCGATGTTTCTAGCTTTCTATCCCTCTCCCTTCCTCTCTGTAAAAAATCAATAAAAAATGTTTTTAAAAAAAGAAAAAGAAAAAAAAAAAGGAAGATGCTTTTGCATAAAACCTGAGTTTTCCAAAGTTAAAAAAAATACTTTGTTACTTAACACTGAGAACTGACATTTCGCAATTAAACCAGGTGAACTCTGAATTTTAGTCTGGGCCTGGCAATTGATCAATTCCAGAACCGGCCCAGGCTCTTGAGAATGCTCTGCCTTTGGTACCGATAAATGGAGTGGTTGGTTAGAAACATTAAACCCCCAAAGTGAAGATTCTCTAATAAGTGGTTCCATCTCTTCTTCTTTCAAGGATGGAACTGTGTACAGGATGAATCGTAAACACAGAGGCTACTGTGTTGTTATCAACAACCAGAACTTTACCTCACTGTTGAAAAGAGAAGGGACTAACAAAGATGCTGGTAAGACAGGCTGTAATAGTATGTTACAGGCTGGGGATCTTAAAATCACTTTCCACTTTCATATTTTCTTTCTGTAATTACTAATCTTCCATTTAATGTAAGGGTGATATTATAAATGTTTCGAAGCCTCCTATATACCCCTAGTGTTTTAGTCCATCCAAACAAGCGAGACTGGGTGGCTTATAGACAACCAACCTGTATTTCTCATGGTTCTGAAGGCTGGACCGTCTAAGATCAAGGCTATGGGGTTTCAGTGTCTGCTGAGAGTCTTCTACCTTCCCGCTGTAATCTCACTTGGGGTTTCTTTTTTTTCTTTAAATATATTTTATTGATTTTTTTTTTTTTTTTTTTACACAGAGGAAGGGAGAGGGATAGAGAGTTAGTTAGAAACATCGATGAAAGAGAAACACCAATCAGCTGCCTCCTGCACACCCCCCACTGGGAATGTGCTCATAACCAAGGTACATGCCCTTGACTGGAATCAAACCTGGGACCTTTCAGTCTGCAGGCTGACGCTCTATCCATTGAGCCAAACCGGCCAGGGCTCACTTGGGGTTTCTTTATGGGCTCAATCCTCGTGGCCTAAGCATGTGTCAAAGGCCCCACTTTTTAATACCCACACCTTGAGGGTTAGGACTTCAACATGTGAATTTTGGGGAGGCACAAACTTTTAGACCATAGCACCTGGGGTGCCAGCAACCTGCTTACAGAGTGAAAGGGGCCCCTGACCACATATGATTCCGTAATGTGGGGGTGAGCATGCTGGGTCAGTATGGGAAGACCTGTGTTTGAGCTCTGGCTCCACCACTAAGTGCGATTTGTGACCATGGGAGAGTCACAGAGCCCCAGCTCCCTCACCCGCGAAGTAGAATGGACTCTGGCCTCTCCTCACTCGCAGGGCCATTGCGATAGCACTGTGGGTGCTATAAAAGGCAGGTTAACCATAAAATTTTATTGTTATGAAAGTAAAACATAAGCCAAAGTTTCAGGATATTTGCTGTAAAATTTATATAACTATTAGCATTGTTTGGCCCCTTTTATTTCATTTCACTCAGTTTTTTCACTATTCATCCTCGCTCACCTTTTTTTTTAACAGAGTGCCTGAAGCATGTGTTTCAGTGGCTTGGATTCAACGTAGATATACGGAATGATGTAACTAAAGAATGCCTGGAGGAAGTTCTACAAAAATATCAGAGTCATCCAGACCATGCCAACGGAGACTGCTTTGTGTTCTGTGTTCTGACCCACGGGAAATTTGGAGCTATCTACTCTTCAGATGATGCCCTCATTCCTATTCAGGAGATCATGTCTCACTTCACAGCCCAGCAGTGCCCCGGTCTGGTTAACAAACCCAAACTCTTTTTCATCCAGGCCTGTCAAGGCAAGGAGATACAATCTTCTGTGCTTATTGAAGCAGATGCTATAAATCCTGAATTAATACTGCCTTCCCTTGAGGACAGTATTCCAAATGAAGCAGACTTCCTTCTTGGCCTGTCCACTGTCCCTGGCTACGTATCCTTTCGTCACAGGAGAGAAGGGAGCTGGTATATTCAATCTCTGTATAACCATTTGAAGGACTTGGTCCCAAGGTAAGAGTTTCACATTGTTCTATCTATCATCTATCTATCTATCCATCCATCTTTTCACCTATCCGTCCGTCCATCCATCCATCCATCCATCCATCTTTTCACCTATCCGTCCATCCATCCATCCATCCATCCATCCATCCAACATATCTGTATTGAGCACCAACATATAACTGGAAAGGAAGATATGGAATAAAAAAAAGATACTGTCCTTGGCCCGCAAGCTGCTCAAAAGTAGATGGGGAAGAGAACCCCCTGTAGTAGATATATACGTAAAGCACAGGTGTTATGGTACCTCACCCAGATTTGGAGGACCAGGGGAAACATCTAGCTGGAGTGAAAGACATGCTGAGCAGAGGGGGCCTTTCATTTGCTCCTTCCTTTATTAATTTACTAGGCACGCATATTCAGTGAGTGCCTATGTGCTGCTGCCTTTGGGCCATAGGCTGGTCTCCTGCCTTGGCTCTGACAACTTTCCTTCTGTCTCTGCCACATGCTCCTTACCTGGTGTCCTGGCAGTGGGCCTTCACCAAGGTTCTGCCCTGGACCACCTCCTCCGCTGTCTCTCTAGAGCCTCTCCGGGTAGTTTTCGAGATCCCCGGAGGCCACTGGCATCTCCATGGAAATGCCTCCCAAGTTGCCATCTCTGAGTCCTGCCATCTCTGAAGAGTAGCTTCATCCAAGTTTATGTCCTCAGCGCCTGGCATCGTATCTGACATACGGTTGAGCTAGGTAACTATCTGCTGCACCAATGAATGAGTGGCCCAGTCAAGGTCACTTTGAAGGTCATTCTTACACATTTTCACAGGCTGCCAGACCCCCTACCTTTGCGTTGCCCTTGACCTCACATCCCGTATGAACATCCTGAATTCATCCGCTCAGCCCGCTGCGAGCTAGGAGCTCCTACTCCTCAGTCCCCCATCTGTAGAGATGGCCACAGTGTTCTTCTGGGGACTTAAGACAGGGAACCGGACTGGAGCCTTGAGTGACCTCAGCTTTTCTCTCTTTTTACCAACCTCTCCATCCCCACCATAGCCACCAGAGGCCAAAGTGCTAGGGCTTCAGAGCCGAGGGGATACTGTGTGCCTGCTAGAGTGGGACTGACCTAGGGACTGATTGATGGCTGGGAATCAGAGACAAACATCTCTTCTCCAGGGTGTGAGCGGGCGGGGGGGGGGGGGGGGGGGGGGGACTGGCATTAGCGATGGACACCCATGAGGACCATGATTCCTCCACCGAGGATGCAGGCGGATCCGACCACGACCCCCAGCTTGAGCCCGGAGTTTCTCTTCCTGAGCAAGAAATGAAAGCCCTGGGAGAAGATGGAGAGGAACTTTTCAAAATGCGGGCAAAGCTGTTCCTTCAGAGGACAGTCTCCCGGCTTGGAAGGCAGGAGGCAGCGGCACGCCAGGCTCCCGAAGCGGAAGGAACAGGGACCATCCGCCTCACCAGGAGGGACAAGACCTTGGAGGTGCGCGCCCAGCACCTTCTCCTGGCGATGGAGCTGAGCCAGCGCGGGCGGGACCACCAGCTGGAGCGCCCTCCCCGCCTTTGCGCCTTTGCAGACCCGCTTCCTCGATGCTGAACACGCATAGAAATCCAAGACAAAGCTTGGAGAATGCAGGAAAGAGAGCGAAGAGAGTGCGAGAAAGTGGCTGAAAAGCTAAGCTCTCCTGGAGGAGACCCAGGAGAAAGCTGAGGAGAAGCAATAAGTCCGCTGCCCTTGTTGTCTGTTCCTTTTTAAAAAAATTTCCCTGCCCCTTCTTTTCGGTTTGTTTTTAATCCGTTTTGTTTTTACAAGGGGCTTTTTATTTTTAGTTGATTTTATTTATTTATTTTTAAAATCTTTATTGTTCATATTATTACAAATGTTCCTCATTTTCCCCCCCTCCATTGCTCCCCTCCACCAGGTTCCCACCCTACCCTCTGCCTTTTCCCCACCCCCTATTGTCCTCATCCATAGGTGCACAGTTTATGTTCAGTCTCTTCCCACACCCCCCACTCCCCTTTTCCCCAAGAATCATCAGTTCACTCCCCTTCCATACCTCTGATTCTATTATATTCAACAGTTAATATTGTTCATCAGATTTTTTTTAATTCACTTGGTTTTTAGATTCACTTGTTGATAGTTACGTATTTGTTGTTCATAATTTTTTATCTTTATTTACTTTCTCTTCCGAAAGAACCCCCTTCAGCAATTCATATAATTCTGGTTTGGTGGTGATGAACTCCTTTAGCCTTTTTTTATTTGTGAAGCTCTTTATCTGGCCTTCGATTCTGAGTGATAGCTTTGCTGGGTAGATTATTGTTGGCTGTAGGTTCTTGCTATTCATCACCTTGAATATTTCTTGCCATTCCCATCTGGCCTGCATGATTTCTGTTGAGAAATCAGCTGACAATCATATGGATGCTCCTTTATGGGTAACTACCTGCTTTTCTCTTGCTGCTTTTAATATTCTCTCTTTGTCTTTTGCTCTTGGAATTTTAATTATGATCTGTCTTGGTGTGGTCCTCTTTGGATTCCTTTTGTGCGCTTCCTGGACTTGTAAGTTTAATTCTTTCACCAGGTGGGGGAAGTTTTCTGTCACTATTTCTTTCAGTATGTTTTCGATATCTTGGTCTCTCTCTCATCTTCTGGGACCCCCATAATTCTGATGTTGGTTCGCTTGAAGTTGTCTCAGAGTTTCTTACATTATCTTCAACTTTCTGGATTTTCTTGTCTTCTTGCTTCTGTGGAGGAGTGTTCTCTGGTTCTTTATATTCCAAATCTTTGACTTGATTCTTGTGATCTTCCATTCTGTTTTTAGGACTCTGTATAATATTTTTTATTTCAGACAATGTATTCTTTATTTCTTGTTGATCCCTTATTATTTCTTGTTGATCCCTTATTATTTCTAGTTGATTCCTTTTCATATTCTCATAGGTCTCATTTATTTTATTGGCCTTTTCTAGGAAATTCTGGAAAAACCTTTTAACCGTGGTTTTGAACTCTATATCCAGTCGCTTTATGTCCTCCATTTCTTTAGTTTGTGATCCGTTTCTTTGTCTCGGCATTTTCGCAGCATCCCTGAGTTGGTAGCCTTAAAAGTCTCTATGTTCAGCTTGGATGGGGCAGAGTTTCAGGGTGGAACCTACAACCTTGGCTTCCCTCAGCCTTGCCCTATGAGGCTCCCGAGTCTCAGTGTTCCTCAGTGTCCTTCAGTACTCACTGCAAGCACCTCTGAGAGAAAGGTGCCCTCGAGTTTCACCCGCTACCAACTAGTCTAGGCTCTCCCCCCATGAGCCCGGAACTGGGGTTCAGTTCAGTTGGAAGTGGAGTTCAGAACAGTCTGGAGCTTTTGTCTCCTTCCCTCCAGGGCAATCAGCGGCACAGCCAACCGTCATTCTCTGCATGCAGTATGCGAGCCTCCCGGACTTCCTCTCACTGCTCCCCTGGGTTTCCACCTTACAGCCCAGGCTCCCTCTGTATGAGCCTGGGTCCCCAGGGTCTGGCCTAGAACTGGGGTTCAGTGTAGTCAGCACTGGGGCTCAGCACAGTCTGGAGCTTTTGTCTCCTTCCCCCTGGGGCAATCTAGCAGCAGAGTCAATAGTCTGTCCTCTGCGTGTAATGTGTGCTCCTCCAGGGGCTCTGTGTTTCGCCGCTCCCCTGAGATTTCGTCTTATAGCCCAGGATACCTCTGTATGAGCCTGGGTCCCCAGGGTTTGGCCTAGAACTGGGGTTCAGTGCTGTCGGATCTGGGGTTCAGCACAGTCCGGAGCTTTTATCTCCTTCCCACTAGGGAACGCCAACCAGGCACTCGGCCACTCCTTCTCTCTGGCTCTGTCCTCTCCCTGCATGAGCAGCATGTCTCTGTACCTTAGGCTTTTACAGCTCCTCTGATTTTCCTTCTGGTTTTCTCTTTCCTTCTCGTTGTAGAATTTCCAGTCAATCGACTTTCCTGTAGTTCTGGGTAATGTCCATTTTGCATTTTAGTTGTATTTTATTGAAATTGTTGTGTGAGGCTGCGGTTAGGCATCCACTTATGCAGCCATCTTGGATTCCCTCTACAAGGGACTTTTTTATTTTTTTTAAAATATATATTTTTTTATTGATTTCAGAGAGGAAGGGAGAGGAGAGAGAGAGAGATAGAAACATCAATGATGAATGAGAATCATTGATTGGCTGCCTCCTGCATGCTCTCTACTGGGGATCGAGCTGGCAACCCCAGGCATGTGCCCTTGGCGGAATCAAACCTGGGACCCTTCAGCTCACAGGCTGACGCTCTACCCACTGAGCCAAACCAGCTAGGGCTACAATAGACTGAATTCCAACATTCAGGTGTTTTGATGTTTTTGAAATTTTTTTTCCCTGTTGAAGATGACCAGAAAACCACCCCCTAGCCATGAAAATGTACTGTGCTTTCTCTTCCAATGGGGAAACACTGATTTATAGTCAGCAGCCATAGTGAAAAAAACACACACAACTATTCGAAACCTTAAAAAACAACAACTCTTTTCTATGTAGCTTATAGTCCAGTAAGAGGCAGACATATAATGAAACTGTACGTAAATGAGTATTTAAATGAATAAGATAATTTTAGGAAGTGATGCCTGCTACAAAGAAAGCAAAACAGGATCATGATACTGGGCCTGGGGGTGGGGGCAAGGAGCGGCTTGAGAAGGCTCTTTGGGAGAGGTGATCGTGCGAGTGGCTGAGTGATGGGGAGTCAGCCACAGGAAGGTTTCAGGAGAGAGAAAGAACAGCTAGTGTGATCAGGATGGAAGGACTTAGAATCAGACAGGGCTTACACTCCCATCTGAAAAATAACATTGATGCCCTAGCTGGTTTGGCTCAGTAGATAGAGCATCCGCCTACACTGAAGGTTCCCAGGTACAATTCCTGTCAAGGGCACGTACCTTGGTTGCAGGCTCTTTTCTTTTTTTGTTTGTTAATCCTCACTCGAGGACACTTTTCCATTGATTTTTAGGGAGCATGGAAGAAAGAGGGAAAGACAGAGATAAACACTGATGTGAGAGCAACACATTGATTGGTTGTCTCTTGCACAAGCCCTGACCAGGGCCTGGGCAGGGGAGGAGCCTGCAACCAACGTTTGTGCCCTTGACTGGAATCGAACCCTGGCCACTTTGGTCCACAGGCTGACACTATCCACTGAGCCAAACCAGCCTGGGCCGGAAGTATTTCTTTTTTTTTTTTCTTTTTTTTTTTTAAATATATTTTATTGATTTTGTACAGAGAGGAAGGGAGAGAGATAGAGAGTTAGAAACATCGATGAGAGAGAGTCATCAATCAGCTGCCTCTTGCACACCCCCTACTGGGGATATGCCCGCAACCAAGGTACATGCCCTTGACCGGAATCGAACCCAGGACCCTTCAGTCCCCAAGCCGACGCTCTATCCATTGAGCCAAACCGGTCCCGACCGGAAGTATTTCTTTATTGTTGGCAGGATCCCGGGTAGAATCTGGATCTGTTGGGCTAGGAAGGAGCCACATGTTTTATGGTCTTATTTCTTTTTTGTTTTGTTATGGTCTTATTTCTAAGATCCGGTACCTGATTTCTGTCTCCTGATTGAAAATATGTTTTCTTCTCTGCCTGCAGAGGTGAAGATATCTTATCCATCCTCACTGCTGTCAATAATGATGTGGGCCGACGAGGACCAAAGAAACAAATCCCTCAACCTGTCTTCACACTGCGTAAAAAAGTCATCTTCCCTGTGCCCCAGCAAGAACTCCCAGAGAGAGTTTCCACTGACCCTTAGACTGGAAAGGAATCTTGTTTTCCAACTTCCCACCCAGTGTAAGAATCAGTGACAGATGGTGAGCTGGCCTTCGTCTGTCATTCTAGCAACAAGGAATGTTCTACTTTCTGACACAGTTCTACTTTCTGTGTCTCTCCCCCCGCCACCCTTTAACAAATCTAAATGCTACCAGACTTTTTTCTTTATAACGATTGATGCCTTGGATTATATTCTTGCCTTTTGCTCTGTACCGTGAGAAAAAAAACAATTGGCTTTGGTTTGTGTAGCTGTGAAGGGAAAGATGGAATGAGGAACATTTTAAGGTTCCCTTTCGCTCTAGGGACCAATGTTCTTAGATTTCCCCTCTACCTGACCACTCCTTGTTATAAGGGGCCACTTCCTGTGTCCCCCTCCCCATGGCCCTGTTTTGGACATTGGCCCATGATGAGAGCACATGGTCCTGGTTTCCAACCCTCCTCTGCTCTTCCCTTCCCAAAGCTTTCCTTCTACACACCTCCCCAGGGACACCTTGGTTTACAGCCACGCCCGCCTCCTGCATCCCTGTCCCGGAAGGTGCTGCTGCAGGCGCAGGGCCGGCTCTAGGAAATGACAGCTGAGTGTACACGAGACTCACGTGCTGCTACTCCGGGAGCAGGAACTTTACAGCCTGATGCTACTTCCCTGTCAGCCAGAACCTTGCAGAGGCTGGTGACAGAACACTCAACTCAGACGGAGGAAAGCAACAGGTTTATTGCCTCTGCCATTTGCAAACCTGAATGCATGATGCTGACTTCCGGTGAGGCCTGCGTCGGGACTCTGCAGTACAGCCTGAGTCTCCAGGCCTGGGCCCTCAGGGTTGGCAGCTGCGCCCACAGGCTCGCTCGGCTCCTCCAGCCACAGGAAGAGGAGAGGAGCAGCTTGGGGGACCCACCCTGCTCACAGGGATTGCTGCCCCCTCCTTGGCCAGAGAGGTGTCTGGCCTGCAGAGAGGTGGCTCTGTATGGCAGCCTTGGTGCTTCTAAAATGAATGTTTTGTGTATTCTGTTTTCAATTTTGAGAGGGATTTCTCTTTTTTAATTCTTGGAAAGAGAGAGATGGGAAGTGCTGCGGTTAAGACCTTTGTTTATAGATGAGGAAGCTGCGGTCTAAGGAGGCAGGGCAGTGTGCTGCTGCCTCCCAGCCGGTTACTGGTTACGTGACTCTGTTTCCCGTGTGAGTGAGTTGAGCAGCCCTGGGACACAGCGGGGCTTTGTGAACGGCCCCTCGGATACATGCCCTCCCTCCCCAGAGTTTTGTGTCCATTGGTTGTACTTATATGCATGTATACAAGTCCTTCGGTTGATCTCTTATCTCCCCCAAAACTAGTTTTTTGAGCCTTATCTATAAATTAGAGAAAATGTTATCTGTGGGGAGGATCACGTAACCAGTAACCCACTGGGAGGCAGCAGCACATTGCCCTGCCTCCTTAGACCGCAGCTTCCTCATCTATAAACATACATACATACAGGGTGGGGTAAAAGTAGGTTGACAATTGTAAACCTTTTGCCCCATCCTGTATATATTCTTAGATTTAATGGCTATTTATTTAGTTACCTATTTAATTACATAGATAGCTAAATAGAGACACCTGTATGCAATGTGGTGCTGTGCATATAAGGCCTTTAAATGCATAGTCTTTTGGTAGGAATGCAAATGAAAATAGCAGAATCTGAGTTCCTTTGCATCATAATTCCAGCTACTTGTAGCTGCAAATCAACACTAGCAATACCTACTGCCATCCTCTGAGTGAAGAGCTGGCTCTTCCCTCACTGGCTCACCATGCCCCGCAGCAACCAGGCCAGCTCCTGACTCTGAGTCAGATAGACAAAATACTGCTGATGAAGTCTCCCTCATTGGAAACATTTGGGGTTCACCTTGTGGGACTTACCTTGGTGATGGGCAGGTATGATATCAAGGGTATTCTCCTTTAGTAATACAGTATCTCCCAGCCAATGATCAGGTTATTTAAACATAAAAGCAACTGGTGCATTGTGGGTACTGGCCAATTAGGGAATAGACTCTGACCAGTATAATCCAGTGGTAAATGCTGCTGAATTACACCCCTTTACCAATGATCAAGTCTCCACTGAGGCCAATCAAATTAGAAGTTTAGCTCACTTTAGAGATAACTTTTGTGCCATATCTCCTTTACAAAGACTTCCAGGTCCAATGCTGTCTGAGTGATTTAGTCAAGCTGTTCTCAGCCTGGAATTCTTGGGTCCACAGGTGTTTGTGGCTTCCTTCTACAGGGTCTTTCAGTCCTCCACCATCATTTTAAATGTTTTCATTCCTTTTTGGTGATAATGAAAAAAACGTTAATAGAAGTGCATCCTGGCTCTTCCGTATGACCACTTTATATGCATTTGAGTTCTGCTACACAAACTCTGTGCTCACATATTTATCAAAGGGTTGAACTTTTAAAAAAATTAAATTAATTGGGGTGACATTGGTTAATAAAATTATATAGGTCTCAAGTGAACATGGCTATGATACATGATTTGTATATTGCATTGTGTGCCCATACATTGAACTTTTTAATGTAGCATGGATGAGGGTCCTCGGCTGGAGGCCCTCGGATTTATTGTCTGGTGCCCGTGGTTAATCTATTTGAAACCTGCTGCAATCCATCCTCTCACCCATGACAGGGTTGCCCATCCTCCACCATCCTTCACCTCTCACTCTTCTAGCAGTGGGGACTCACATCACATGCAGTCATGGATTTGGGAGCTTACAAGAATTCTAGAAACCCTGTGGTCCAGCCTTCCGAGTGTTGGGTGACTTGTTGAATTCTCACAACTGTTAGTGAAGGGTTTGCAATCCGGTATATCTACTGCTCTGCAACCCTGCCACTTGGTTTTTCACGTGTGGACAGCTGTAATCCTTCCTTTCTCTGCTGGACTTGAATCTACCTCCTTAGAAAGGACTTAAAACCACTGGGTCTCATTCTAAACTCGAGCCATACCAAACAAGTATCGTTATCCTCAGAGGAGGTATAAGCTGTAAGCAACAAGTTATTTAACTTTATTTTCTGGTGGGGTATGGGTCCTGTCAAAAGTCTGCAGTTTTCTTCTGTGTTAAGAACATAGGGATAGATTTGTATTTTAGAACAAAGACTACATTTTTGAAAGTGGAAGCCTTAGTGGAAAGTACTGGGGGAAATCTCCTGCTTAAAAAAAAGATTCATTTGTCAATATAAACAATTATTTCTTAGCATAAATTTGCATATCTGATTTTTAAAAGAGAGTTTTTCTATTAAAAATTTACAATTGTATTAATACTTAATTTTTACATTTATTTTTGAATAGATAATATATTTGTATTGTTCAAAGGTAATAAAACATAAAAAGGTACCCAAGTAAAGTCTCACTCCCATTTATGTCAGTTGTATGCCCAACCCTTACCTTCTCATCCCATAAATAATTTCAGGGTTTCCTTAAAAAAAAAAAAAAAAAAAAAAAAATATATATATATATATATATATATATATATATATATATATATATATATTATTGATTTCAGAGAGGAAGGGAGAGGGAGAGAGAGATAGAAACATCAATGATGAGGGAGAATCATTGATTGGCTGCCTCCTGCACACCCCCTACTGGGGAGCAAGCCCGCAACCTGGGCGTATGCCCTTGGCTGGAATTGAACCTGGGACCCTTCAGTCTACAGGCTGACGCTCTATCCACTGAGCCAAACTGGCTGGGGCATTTCAGGGTTTCTTAATGCAGGTACAAATACAAACATGTGTGGATTGTAAATCAGGCATTGCCTGAAGCAAAGTACGTGCACTGTGAAACATCTCTCATTTGGTCTTATTTTAAATGATTCTGTGTAAGATGCTTGGAAATACTGGTACAGTTCTTGAATGGAAATAACTATAAACTTTGTGGACTGGATACTTGTAAACAGTAGTAATTGACTTACCAATAAAGAGTTGTTGTTTTTCCTTTTAACCTTTCAGTAATATCTTTGCTTTTTTTTTAATACCGTTTTTTTTTTTCAATTTACATAGTAAAAGGTGCTCATTGTGGAATATTTGGGAAATACAAGAACAGATAAAGAAGAGCTAATTCAATTATAATTCCTCTTTGGTATACACTTTGCCATTATTTTCTGATCCTTCCCATCCTCCTTAAATCAGTTTAACTTCCATGTCTTCCCAATCATGCATCCAGTAAACTGTTATTACCAATATCTGTACTTCCACCCAAGTCTCGATTTTAACCATGCCACCCTGTCAGACAACTGCCTGCTACCTTTCCAAGTCTATTTCTCTAGGCCCCTCCCTCCAACAGTCACCCCTCCCTTCCTCCTTACCCAGCTAGAGTCCCGGGTCATCATAAATTCTCCCTTTTGCACCCTAAACATCCCTGCTTTCCCTCAGTCCTTCTCAGGGCAGAATCTGAACTCTGGTTGATCTCATATGTCTGCTAACCACATGTGGGTCTGCTAACCACATCTGTATTTGAATTCCTAGTTGTGGCTTATGGAAAAACATCACTGTTTGAGACTGACCTCAAGCCAATGACCACAAACTGTGACATTTCCCTGCTGAGATCACCCTTTTGTTCTCTTAGACTATCTCTGCTTGCTTTGGTCTCCTCAGATCTCTATCACGGTCCACTTGTTACGCCCAGACTTTGTGATCCCCAAGGACCACCAGGGAGCCGAGTCCGATGCAATAAACAAAAGAGCCTCTTCCATGCTAGCATGGGCTCTGTCCCACTCACGCTGACAGCATGGCGGAAGACAGCGAACTTTGCCCAGCCCAGGGGTTTTACACTGGTGGTGATGTCACTGCTTTGGCTGACCCTAATTGGTTGGGTGAGGGCTAGGGTCCAGTTACATAAAATGGAGGATAGCTCCGCCCTGCCCCACAGTACAAAATGGAGTCAGGAGTTAGCCTTGCCCCCCCTGCCCTCTCACACTCTCCTCACTTGCACTCTGTGGCCTCATTTCACTGACTTCCTCTTGCACCA